GGTAAATATTCCCTAAAAATCGCCATTTTTTCCCATCATTGAAATTGCCCCCCCCCCATTTAATTTTTAAAATTTTTTGCATGGAATAAGCCATCCCAAATTTAAATGTTTCGGGTTTCTTATAAACCCAGGACACTGTCTTTTGATATTACAATTTTCTTTAAATAATGATTTCTAAATTCATTTTTTTTTTTTAAAAAGGAATTTTTATTCCCTTTTCAAAGGCACCCCTTTAGCTCACTTTCAAAAATTAAACTAAAAAAAATTGATATTTTTAAAAGGGAAAAAAAATTAAATATTCATGTTTCAAATAAAAATTTGGGCTTTATATTTTTAAAAAAACCCTGACTAAATTTAAATTATGTTATCACATGGCAGTTTGAAAAATGCTGAACTTTAAAAGGGACTTCTTTTAAAAAATTTGACATTAACCTGGAAAAATGTTTTTTTAATTAAAACCTTTTTAAATTTTAATTAAAAATAGTATATATATTATAGAAGGGTGAAAATCTACATTGAACAAAATTTAATTTTTTTTAAGCTTTTAAAAATAAGTTAGCATTTTTTGCCATAAAACCAAAAATATTAGTACTTAGTATTTGGTGAAAATTTTGGGAAAGTTAAACCTTATTAAAATTTAAATCAAGAAATTTTCTTTTATAAACATAGTGAACAAAGCTGATTATTTAAAGGCCCAATTTGTTAAATGTAGTTTTTTTAAATTATATAAAAATTTTTATAGGGAAATTAAAATGTTAATTTTTTTGATGTCCTTGAAAAAGGGATTTTTGATGTTTTATAAAAAATATCCTGCCCAAGAAAGTAAAAATTGATTAACATTTTTTTTTAAAATTTTAAATTTTTACCCATTTGTTTTAAAACCTGCTGGGGGAAAACAAAAGGGAAAAACCCCTTGCCATATTGTAAAAACCCTTTTGGGCCACTATTTAAGAGAAATATTAAGAATTAACCCCCCAATCCGGCTGTAATTGTTAGTAATGCTCTTTGTTGTATGCGGGTTTAAAGTCTGTTACACAGAGTCAGTAGGAAAAGGGTTTTAACATGTTTTTAAGTGAAATATTAAAAATTTTAAGTTAAATTTATAAAAAATTTTAAAAATAATGAGAAAAAAAATTTTAAAGCTGCTGCCCTTTAATACTGATTTTATCTGTCTTAAGATGCTAGAAGAAAAATAATTTTTGTAACATATGAAAGTAAGTTTTCTTTTAGTGTACTGTGGGTAATACTACTGGGTAAGGGTCCTGATGCATCAATAAATTTTTATGTGTGTTTTCAGGGAAAAGGAAAATTTTTTGACAGATATAGTTTGATTTTGTTAGGTATTTTGAAGGGATTCCCCCTTTTAAAATTCAAAATATGGAATTTCATGTTGAATTTCCCCCGGGCTTTTCTGGAAAAAAAATTGTAAAAATTTTTTTTTGGAACTGGTGAGTGAAAAAAAGGGCTGTCAGGGCCCCTTTTTTAAGGTTTTCTCAAAAAATTTTCATTTTGGGGGCCGGCGGGGCTAGGGGTTTTAAACCCTTTTGGACTAAGTAATTTTTATGATGGTGTTTGCGGGGTTAAAACCCCCATCAGGGGCAAGTTTTTTTTTGAGCAAAAATTTACCCCCATTGTCAGTACGGGTTTGGGTTTTCCGGGAAATGATTGGAAAGGGTGTTTATAAGTTTTTAGTAAAAAATTGGGAAACAAAAATAAATTTTTTTTAAAAACCAAATTTTTGTTCTAAAACCGGGAAAAAAAAAATAAAAAAGTTGAAAAAGGTTTTTAAAAGTTTTTTGGGGGACTTTTTACCCTTAAAAGGGACTCACCCCAATTTTTTTTTAAATAAAGGGAAAACCTGAAACTTTTTCCTATATTTTTTTACCCTTTTTATTTTTTGTCTGGCCAATAACTTTTGTGCAAATTTTTAGATCATTCCTTCTCCCCATTTTTCCAGTATCATCATTTTTTTGTGTGCAAAATACAAAATGTAACCCAAAAATTGACAAATTAGACAAAGCATTACACAATTAATTGATTTTTAATTTAATTCTGAACATATTTCTTTATTATCCTTTCCATTTTAAGTGCTTCATTTGATTTATGTGAGAATGTTAAATTTTATGTTTTTTTGTCAGTGAAGCTTCTTTAATTTACAACAGAGCACTTGCACATTAGTAATAAATAATCAAAGTAATTGAACTCTTAGTTTACACAGGTAACCAGTAAGACATACAACATTGATGATTTATATTAAAGGAGTGATTTTTACATTCATTCCAATCTTGTCAAGTTAATATCAATTTTATGAATGACTGGCGTCAAGGCTAGTGATTAACTAGTCAAATAAATTTTATAAAATGCTGGTTAAAGCGTTATTATAAAGTTAATGATATTAACAATCAGGTCAACCTTTATAATGATCAATCCTTTATAAAGGAAATATTTCAACTTTTATTTAAGTCTTTGAAAACAGTTAAAATTTTCAACTTAATGCAGCACTTGGTTTGTCTCAAATCAGAATCCATGCAGTCTGACCAGGCTCAGTATTGTAAGCTGACCAAATTTTGATCTTGATGAATTGACAGCTTCAAAAATTAAAGTTTGACAAGGGTTAAATGATTTATAGACACAACAACATTAACTTAAATAATTAGCCATTGTGATCTGGCGTGAACCATGTTCACTGAATAGTTATAATTATGAAAGGTTTGCAGGTTTTTGTAAACATCATTAATGTCATTATTTAAACAGTTTTGTGTAAGTTGCACCTGAGGATTAAATCCATTATTTTTTTGGAACTTGATTAGTGAAAATATTTTTTTTTTATTTCTTCACAAAGGGTCATTGTTGCAAGGATCTGCCATTGTGTTAAAGGGGGAGTTTACATGCCTTATATGATAAAGTCAAAGAGATCTACTGTAATGAATGCTATATTTGTACATTATTCTATGAAAAAAACTCCGTAATTCTTATATAAACAATGCAGTATAATTTACTCCGTACAATTATTTCTTTACTTGTCATAGCAATAATTTCATGATTTTTTTGTCAAAAATTGTTACTATGTTGTTTTGACATTTTTTTAATAGCAATGGTAACTAATTGTAATTGAAAGTGTATTAAATTGATACAATTATGTATTCTATCAGTCATATTTTATAATTAAAAACTTATCTAGTAACTTGAAAATCTAATTTGTTCCTCTCCCAACTTTGTCCTTATTTAAATGATTGATGATAAAATGGTTCATACTAATGAGATACTAGTTTATTCCTTAACCTGCTAAAATTGTTTAAAGAATTTGCCAATTAAGCTTTGAATTTGGAGCAGTCCATTTAAAGTTCAAGAAATTTCATTAGCATAACACAAAAAATATTGACTACCAAGTTGTACTGCATGGGTATATAGGCTGGCCTGGCTCTTATATTCTGGTATATATCAGTTATAGTTCCAGCAGGTTAACCTTTTACCCCATGAGCATATTGCGAAAAATGGCCATTTTCATTGAAAAGCCTCCTGTAACAAGTTCAAACTGCTATGAAACTATGAAAAATGCTTCAATGCTGATGAAACTTGGCACAAATGTTGACTAGACCATAGCCTCTGTAACAGCATGCTCAATCGTAAATTTCCTGTTACCATGGCAACGGGGGACGTCTTCAAAATAGCCCAAAAATCAATATTTTTGCATTGTTTTTTCCATCAAAACTGATTTCCCAAGTGCTGCAACTTCTCAATGAATTGAGATAGAGTAAAAGGCTTTTCAGCGTCGGTTACTAGTTACCCTAAGATCGACCTGAGGCCATTTTTAGCCTGTCACATGTCCAAAATTTTCTTGGCGAAAATTTGGATGGGGGACGGTGCCGAAAAAAGGTCACTTTTTTAACATCAATTCTCAAACGAAAAACAGTGTTTGGGGCCTAAATAGGGCATTTTTTCACTGTTTGAGGCCTCAAAAAAGGGGGGGGGGTGGGGCAAAAAGCCGTCGAAACACGCTTATATAAGGGAAAAGGTTAATCAACTGGTGGTCAATGTTGCTTAGACTCCATTCACTATTATAAATGCCACACAGTGCTGTTGGTTTGTTTGAGTAATTAATGTTTTTAATGTGAGAAAGTTTGTGTCTCAGATTCTTCCATACCAGAAATAATAGAAGAATTATGGATTATTTTCTATAAGCTTGCAAAGGCTGAAAAGTCACCAAACAGTGTCTGTGTCCTGTATGACTGTTTTACAACAATTCTATATTATAAATATCCTACAAAATAACAAACTTGATTGTATGAGTAAATTATTTTACTGTCTCATTACAGGTGGGTGTTTAGTTCTGTGAGTATTGAAGATGTTGTCCGCAGAAGGATTAATGATCGTCTTCACAGTGTCAAACCCACTTTCATAGGTATGTTCTTTACACATTGAGTATATTCACACCTGCTTTCATAGGTATGTTCTTTACACACTGTTAATTGTAACACCCACTTTCATAGGTATGTTCTTAACCCACTGTTAACATTCAAACCCACTTTCATAGGTATGTTATTTACGCATAGTTCTATACACACTGTTTATTATTTCCATTACACATGTACTCAGTGTCTATTTAATGTCTCATTATATGTCACACCAACATTCAGAAAAATGTTCTATACACAGTGTGCATTATATGTCACACAAACATTTTGAAGTATGTTTTCATTACACAGTGTGCATTATATGTCACACTAACATTTAGAAATATGTTCATTCCACAATGTGCATAATATGTCACACCAACATTTAGAAATATGTTCTATATACACAGTGTGCATTATATGTCACCACCAAAATTCAGAAATATGTTCATTACACAGTGTGCATTATATGTCACACTAACAATTTTGAAGTATGTTTTCATTACACAGTGTGCCATTATATGTCACAACCTAACACATTTAGAAATATGTTCATTCCACAATGTGGCATAATAGTCACAGCCAAACATTTAGAAATATGTTCTATACACAGTGTTCATTATAATGTCAACCAAATTCAGAAATATGTTCTATACACAGTGTGCATTATATGTCACACAAACATTTTGAAGTATGTTTTCATTACACAGTGGTTGCATTATATGTCACACTAACATTTAGAAATATGTTCATTCCACAATGTGCATAATATGTCACACCAACATTTAGAAATATGTTGAATGTTCTATACACAGTGTTCATTATATGTCGCACCAAAATTCAGAAATATGTTCATTACACAGTGTGCATTATATGTCACACTAACATTCAGAAATATGTTCATTACACAGTGTGCCTTATATATCACACCAACATTCAGAAATATTTTTATTTCACAGTGTGCCTTATAGGTGACACCAACATTTAGAAAAATGTGCTATTTACAGTGTTCATTATATGTCACACCAGCATTTAGAAATATGTTCTATACACAGTGTGCATTATATGTCACACAAACATTTTGAAGTATGTTTTCATTACACAGTGTGCATTATATGTCACACTAACATTTAGAAATATGTTCATTCCACAATGTGCATAATATGTCACACCAACATTTAGAAATATGTTGAATGTTCTATACACAGTGTTCATTATATGTCACACCAAAATTCAGAAATATGTTCTATACACAGTGTGCATTATATGTCACACAAACATTTTGAAGTATGTTTTCATTACACAGTGTGCATTATATGTCACACTAACATTTAGAAATATGTTCTATACACAGTGTTCATTATATGTCACACTAACATTTAGAAATATGTTCATTACACAGTGTGCATTGTATGTCACACTAACATTTAGAAATATGTTCTATACACAGTGTGCATTATATGTCACACCAGCATTTCGAAATATGTTCATTACACAGTGTGCATTATATGTCACACCAACATATAGAAATATGTTCATTACACAGTGTGCATTATATGTCACACCAACATTTAGAAATATGTTCATTACACAGTGTGCGTCAATATTACATTTTTGTAAGCCATACATCACAAATACATTTGGTCATTGATCACAAAAACTGTGATGTTGTGAAGTATGTACATTTTTAATAACTATTTGAATAGAATTTATGTTTCATGGAAGTCAAATAATGATATCTGAAATGAATACATTGTATAAATATTTAAACAGTTTTGCAAATACTTGTAACTGCTCTATTGAAAAATGAATGCTGAACAGCATTTTGCTCTTTTACAATGATTAAAGGTAGGAAATTAGATTTCATGTATTTTTCTTGCCATTTTTGGCAAAAAGTACCTAGCACAGTGTTGGAAATATAAAACACCATAAAATGAACTTTTTGTATCCTCCATTTTGACTCTTTGGCATTGTACATTCTAATTTTATTATAATTGTCTTCAGTAACAACTGAAGCCTACTAAATGATAAAATCCAATAAAAATCAATAACCAAATTGTTGAGGACATCATTCCATTAGATATTGGAATAACTTGGGTCAATTCATCAGGAATTTTAGTTTGATTGCGATTTATTTTAAAGATTTGGAAAAAATAAGCATATTCATTTTGCCATTGTGAATAGGTCAGACAGTTTGTTTGTACCAAGGTATGAGATTAGGAAATTCCACATTCGCAGAGTTCCAGAAAACATCTAGTGACCTTGAAAAATGACATTCATATCACACATATATTAAATGTAGCAATTTACTATTTATTAAATCTTAACCTGCTGAATTCTTGTGATAGATTTGCCCTGCTTTAAATTTGGAACAGTCTAAGGGATTTCAGTATCAAAATACATATATTTAACTACCAACAACATAGAGCACAGACATTCAGGCTGGCCTGGCTCTATACTGGCCTGACTCTATACTGGCCTGACGACTTTACTGGCCTGGCTTTATACTGGCCTGACTATACTGGCCTGGCTCTATACTGGTCTGACTATACTGGCCTGGCTCTATACTGGCCTGACTATACTAGCCTGACTCTATACTGGCCTGACTATACTGACCTGGCTCTATACTGGCCTGACTCTATACTGGCCTGACTCTATACTGGCCTGACTATACTGGACTGGCTCTATACTGGCCTGACTCTATACTGGCCTGACTATACTGGCCTGGCTATACTGGCCTAGCTCTATACTGGCCAGACTCTATACTGGCCTGACTATACTGGCCAGACTCTATACTGGCCTGACTATACTAGCCTGACTCTTTACTGGCCTGGCTCTATTACTGGCCAGACTATACTGGCCTGAGCTCTATACAGGCCTGACTCTATACTGGCCTGACTATACTGCCCTAGCTCTATACTGGCCTGACTATACTGGCCCTGGCTCTTACTGGCCTGACTCTATACTGGCCTGACTATACTGACCTGGCTCTATACGGCCTGACTTTATACTGGCCTGACTCTATACTGGTCCTGACTATACTGACCTGGCTCTTATACTGGGCCTGAATTATACTGGCCTGGCTCTATACTGGCCTGACTCTACACTGGCCTGGCTCTATACTGGCCTGGCTCTATACTGGCCTGACTCTTTACTGGCCTAGCTCTATACTGGCCTGACTCTATACTGGACTAGCTCTATATTGGCCTGACTCTATACTGGTCTGGCTATATACTGGCCTGACTCTATACTGGCCTGACTCTATACTGATGGCAAAGGCTATAATTACTTCCAGTTTCAGCAGGAGAAGTTTAGACTTTAGACTAAAAATGTAAAGGTAGTGAAGAAATTGTTTAAATGGTATGAAACTATTAATTTGTTTATAAGCTATTATATAAGATTATAGATTTTGTTAAATTTTATCAAATTTCTTAGTTCTTTTGTTAAATTAAAATATGATAACATTATACTGTACAACAGTTCATACAGTAGAAATAAAAGGCATTTTGTTGCCTTGTTCTAAATATATACAGAAATGTTGTTTTGTTGGCTTTTATTATGAACTTTATTTCTGAAATCATGAAAATCCTGATATTCACTTTATTTAGTTTTTCCATTTGCCAGAAAATTATAAAAGATAATAATTTACAAAAACACAATATGGTTTATAATAATAAAGTGAATACAGCTGGGCCAAAGATTCATACACTCTTGAAACAATATAGAAATTGCAAAATATGAAAACATCATACATTTGATTCTATTCTGTTTTTTCTTCTCTGGCTATATCAAGTTATTATTGAACACACATTGGCTATATCAAGTTATATTGAACTCACATTATATAATTCATAATATAGATTCTTCATTTTTTAGGTCATTTACAGTTAGTTGGTTTTACATTTGGTGACATCACGCCATGTATTCGTAATGTAAAAGTGTTTGAGTGTGCCGATGGTGTACAAGGATTCAAACCTGCGTCCTGGTCTAGTGTAACACAACCTCCGGCTGGTCTTGACAAGATGTCAAGTTTCCAGATTGTGCTCGAGGCCGATATAGCGTCAAGATGTGAGGATTTTCGTATGGTGTTTCGAGCCAGAGCAGGCGGAGAAAGGTTAGATAATCTTGAATAGATTTTGTTGGTTTTATGCATGATGGTTTATAAATGAAATGTTGATTCAAAATAACTCTGTGTACAATATAGAGGCTATGTATGTACTAAGTCCCATTATAATTTTTTTCCATCCATGTTTTTTTAGATCACCTGACACAAAATCTTTGAGTTATGCTCACAATAAAAATGAAAAAGATACTGTTGCTATAAAAAAGGGCGTTAAATATGACCCTCTTGTTTAGTCTTTTCTATGAAAAGATAACATTATATTGCCTTAGTGTGTAATGTAGAGATGAATGTGTGTTAAATCATAGGTTATTTTTAAAAAAAGTTGAGAAAAGAAAAACAAATAAAAAAGCTAAGACAGATAACATGATCTGAGATGTCAGAGAATAACTTACTTCTGATTTTTGCACAGGACTGAACCAACCTGACTGTACTTGAATAAAATCAAATAATAAATAAATAAATTGTTAAATGTCAAAAAATGTAACTGTTCCTTTTGACAATAAAGGTGGGGTATAGGATGTTCTTAAGACATAAAAATGCTAAGTAATAGAAGCCTTATGCTAATATTCTAAAATATTTTTTTAGCAAGCAAAGTTTCTGTAAAATGATACTATTTTGAGAAGACAACTGTAGCTTCTATCAGATCTGAGCATTGTGTTGAAGTTTTATAATATAATTTATCTGCATTATAACATCTATAGATCTTGTGTCTCAGCAGAAAATATTTAAGTCTTCAGATTGATTGTTACTTGAAAAGGTCAAAGCTCTTTGTAATATCTCTTTAATGTCAGAACCTTTTAAACCAGGAGGTGGAAGAAAAGAAAACATTTATATTTTCATCCATTAAAATTGCCTCAAAAATATTTTTTAAAAAATCAGTTGTTTTATGTGGAGTAAAATTTGTCATAGACGAACATTCATGCGTGCCCAAGAGAGATAAAGTCATTTTCCATCAAAGATGATAAGTTTGTAAGGCAAAAATATTTTAGAATAATGGATCTTAAAACATGCAGATATAAGAAAATTAACTAATGTGTCACTTAAAAGGTTTGATTGGAGAAGAAAATTGCCAATAAGAATTATATGATGTACATGACGTTTGTATAGAAAACAAGTTTTAGTCTGCTGGTGGACAACTATCACTATACCAATGTGACCTGTAAGTACAGACCAGGATCAGCCAGCTCAGATGTCTGATCTTTGTGTGCACTGGTTTAATGTGTAGAATATGTTACAACTAGCAGTTAAGTAAATGTGAAATACATCAATGTGGCAATGATAATTATAGTTTTAACTTAATATGTATCAAATCAAATGTCAATATAAGTGTTCTATTATCTGATAATTATAATGTAGTAAATTGAAGCCACATGGGTAGATTATAATTTGCTTTCTTTAACAACTTTTACTTAATGTATCTGCCTATTGTATGAATGAATCTTGTTAAAAATGTTGCAGTTGCTTACAAAAGTACAATGTTTCAGTGTTTGGAGGGGCTACTTCATGTTTTCCCTTCAATAACTATTACTATGCTAAATACCTTCTATGGACAATCCCATCTTTCAATCTGGACAAAACCATTCATGAATATTAGGGAAAATTTTAAAATATATCCTGAGTGTAGATTAGATGACAGAGATACACTACTTGCAGGATATAATTAGTTGCCATCAGTAAGCTCATACTTGTTTCTGTGTTGGTGTGTTTGCAAACCAGTAAGCAGATGGAAGCTTGTTTGTGAGATTTGCTACTGATCCTTTTTTGTGTGTCTGGAAACCTTATAAAAACATGTATGATAATAATATGCAATAAATGATTATTAAACAAAAAAAGTGTCTCAATTTTTCTATAATGCTGGCTGAGAAATGTAAGCAAGCTTAATTACGTCTCAATACCACAATTTCCCTTTTATATTGTCAGCTTAGTTCAACCTGAAATCAGATTTTATTTGGAATGTATCACACTTATCAATTAATATAGCTTGTCTCAAAGGTATAGTTATCATAATGTATGCTCAATACAGACCATTTTGTGCTAATGTAATCCATTCAGAATAATAAAAAAGAAAATTTCAAAATGTGTTTTCTACGGAATAGATGAAACAAAATAATAAGCTTCATTTAACCCATAAAATAACCTTCTGAATTTCTTAACTTATGGTGTCCTTGCCTTTCAGAAACTTTAACATTGGTTATAATTCTTTTTATTTCTCAATGGATTGTCTTCATACTTAGACTCAACAACCCTTTTGACAAGACCTTTAAGTGGACCAGACCTTAACTTATAAATGACCTTGACTTTCATGGTCATACCATGGACAAAACACTCTAAATGACACAAAAGATGTGTTAAATATTTCAAATAAAATTTTACCCTTAAACTGATCTTGACTACCAATGTCAAAACTTATACTTGGTCAAACAGCATTTTTTGCAAAACTGACATGTTGTTCAAGTTAAAAGTAGACCTCAAAGTGACCTTGACTGTCCTGATTACTGTTATTTTGCTAAAATTTCCAGAACATTGTCATAAATTTTAATGGATAGATTTGAATCATATTAGCACAAAAGAATTCTTATGTTACACACAGGAATGGTTTTATTATTACTTCTTATGACAACACAGACATGTTGAATGGTTTTATTAAGATATTGATCTGTAAATGACATTGGCTATCAAGGTCAAATATGAAATCTTAACTATATTTTGTAAAAACAAATTATGTTTTCTTGGAGAATTCTTTATTACAATATTCTTCCTCCAATATTTTTGATCTAGATTTAAGGAAACTTAAGCTCCTAGATAATAAAAGCCCAGAACTTCAATATTTGGCATCAATTTGTAGCCTTTTACTTAAGTTATAATAACCCTAACCCTGAGGTCAAAATTGGCCCTACCCTGGGGCATCACATGCCATAAAGCTTGTTTAACCCTTTCCCCCATGAGCATATTGTGAAAAATGGCCATTTTCACTGAAAAGCCTCCTCTCACAAGTTCAAACTGCTATGAAACTATGAAAAATGCTTCAATACTAATCAAACTTGGCACAAATGTTAACTGGACCATTGCCTTTGTAACGACATGCTCAGTCTTAAATTTCCTGTTACCATGGCAACGAGGGGACATCTCAAAATTGCCAAAAATCACTTTTTTGCTTCGATTTTTTCCATCAAAATTTATTTCAAAGTGCTGCAACTTCTCAAGGGATTGAGGTAGAGTCAAAGGCTTTTCAGCGTTGGTTACACGTTACCTTATGATCGACCTGAGGTCATTTTAAGCCTCTCACAAGTCCAAAATTTTCTTGGCGATGAGGGGGACTCCGCCCCCCTTCAAACCCCCCAAACAGAAGGGGGCACATCCCCCTTCTGGCAACCCCCTGATGTCATATTTGGATGGGGGACGGCGCCGAAAAAATGGTCACTTTTTTTAACAACATTTCTCAAATGAAAAACAGTGTTTGGGGCCTAAATAGGGCATTTTTTCACTGTTTGAGGCCTCAAAAAGGGGGGGGGGGGCAAAAAGCCGTCGAAACACGCTTATATAAGGGAAAAGGTTAATCATTTAGCATTATAAGGATAATTAAGAACATTTTAGGTCAAATTTCATGAATAAGTCTCTTCCCTAAGTGCAAGATTATATATGATTACTCAAACAAATCATATCTGGGCATGTATTACCCCGCCTCAGAGGTGCTCATGTAGGGATATCAAAATGAAAATTTGAAGTTTAGAGTAAAGTCGGACTAAATTTCAGTTTGAGCAGGTTAAGTCAAGATGTGCAATAACTGGCATATTTTATGATATTGTTTGATTTAACAAATGACTCAGTCATTATATACTGTATCCTTAACCACTTAAGTTGATAACTACTTATAAAACATTACATCCTCATTTAATATATATAGATTAAATGTTTTTCATGTTGTAAATTTTTCTCAAGTCATGAAAAGTATTTTCCAGTTAAGTATATTCCACATAATATATTATAGGAGAGAATTTTTTCTGTTTCAGAGTTGGTTTAAGTTTTGACACAGCTGTAGAAGAATTACGTATAAAAGGCAAACTTCAACTAATGCTGCATATGACAATGGAAGTACCCTTTCCTCATATCACCAAGGCAACAGTTTCTTTTTCTGAAGAGTAAGTTATAAAGAATAGTTATAAAGAATAGTTCAGAAACCTAAAACAGATGTGTGGTTACAAAGATTTGCTAGCTGGCAAAACTGTCTATATTGGTAACATGTCAGATGTAGATGTTGGCTTGGTTGTCTCTATTGATGACAAAAGTCTAAAATTTTCTAGTGACCTTTCAGACCAGTGTTTAATATTACCACACCCAGGGATGTTCCCTTAAACAAAAAGGCTAGAGTTAAGATATTTGGCATGAAGCATCATTCAGTAAACCCCTTTTAAAGTTTATCAAATTATCCAATATTATTAAAACTATGGGGCTTTGGTCCAAATTGTCATTTCCTGGTGATCAGGGGGTTATTCTTCTTATATATAAATAAAAAATCTTCTTATAAACTCAGGTGAGCTGTATAGGATCATCATGACTCTCTTGTATTTTAAATCATGTCACCTATACAGTTTTTAGACCGCTTTAATTTCAATAAGGATTTTATTGAACATAGTTTGCAATGTGGTCTCAAGTAGTATTAAAAGTAGATTAAGAAAATATTAATTGATGTAGTGGAAACTGGTTCCCATGGTGATGATATTGATGTCTATAAACAGTCTATAAGGGCATGACACTAAATTCTTAATTTGAAATCTTGGCTTTGAAGTACTTCAATAGCATCAAACATTGAAGAAAATACATAAAGCTATCTTCTCTAGAGTCAGTTAATAGTTCAAAGTGTGTCCTTTTAACATGTACTACTTTTATGTTGTTCTTTTTTTTTTGCTGATTGCCATAGGTTGCCATATTGATGATAATAATTTAGATAATCAAAATAAACCAAAGAATCACTATATGAGAAATTGATGAAGTGGACAATATATTAATTATGAAGATATATAACCCTAAATAGTCTCATCGGAATAATCAGGATGTTGATTGATTGCGAGTAATTTACATCTGTCTGCAATAAAGATCCAATACTATATAGGCAGTTGACTGCTGGATTTGTCCAGTATTGAATTTGGTATATTCAATTTTTCAAATTCAAAGTTTAAAGGGATTTCAAGCCTTGTGTATGCTGGCTTGGCTGGCATACTGATCTGGTCACTTAGATGTGCAGGCTGATTGGTATCAGAAATTTGAAATTATCTACTCAACAGAGCACAACATACTGTGTTATTGTGATCACTCACCATATGTCTGTCCACCCTTCTTTTATCAACATCTAAATCACCGGGTAACCCCAAAACTTTCTTAGGTGATTTTCTTGAATATTCAATTATTGTAATTGCAAGGACTAGAGCTATTGTATTTGGCATGAAACATTGTCTAGCTCTACCAAGGCTGTTCAAATTATAGCCCAGAGTTCGAATTCAGTGGGATCATGGATGGAGATATGGTAATCTCTGGTTGGTTATCCAAGAAAGCTGGTTAGGTTCATCAACAACAAAGATATGATTCAAAAATTGGTTTAAATTGGCATAAAATTCAGACTGCAAAGGTTACAGAGCTTGGATATTTGGCATGAAATATTGTCTAGTAGACTTCTTGTAAGGCTGTTCAAATTTAATTTTGAATTAAACTTGTGTTATATTAGAGTAGTATGTTTATGTATGGTGATTATGTTGTATTTCAGACCAGAGGTATGGTTTAATGTCACAGTATTGAACGCTCTACAGCTGATGGAGGTGCCATTGATAAAGTCTTGGATACATATTAATGTAATGGAGGGTATTTCTAAAGGTATAGATTAAAAATAAAAATGAATATTGATTGCAGTTTTTATTGCTAAATATAATACTTTAACCAGGCCATTAGAACAGTACCAAGAATAATATACATACATCACTTAACCCTAATAACCTGCTGAATTTTCTTAAATGGACGTGTCCTGCATCCATTTTTCATTCATCAATTGTAGCGATATCAAAAGTTACCTGGCCACCAGTATTGACATTTGTCAAACTTGCCTGGCTTAAAACTGGTGGCAGACGGTCATCACTTTCAGTTTCAGCTCGGTGTAGGTTTAAACATAATCTTGTCAGTGGCAGAGTTATTAAGGTTGCTTAAATTAGTGAATTAGCCATCATCTTTCATTTACATAGCACTTTAGAGCTCAGATTTTCTTTTTGGTCTTCATCAAATTTTACTTTATCTACTAAAACTGTGATAATCAATGGAGTAATGCAGGATTTTTATGACCACTTTGTTTTGTTGTTATATTGAAGTTACAGTTATTTTGTCAGCATTTGAATAGTTTCAACTTTTCATCTACTGGTTCATTACAATGTTTAAACCTAGTAACTTAAATCGAAGCCTGCTGCTACCTGTACGACCAGTGCAGATCAAGATCAGGGACAGGTAACAGCCATGCTGACTGATCATTGACGGCACTGTTTGTTATTCCAGTCACTACATATCTTGAAGGTTTATGTAAAGATTGACAGATGTAAAATATTAACATGGTAAGGGTTACATATTTTGTATGAGGAAGCTATCAAGTTATTTATAAGAATTAATTACAGGAAGATGCCTGCTCTCATTGTCAAAGATCTGAAATATTCCAGTTTGTCCTGAATGTAGTATCAATATAACCAAAAAATATATATTGAAGAAATGATACTCCCTCTTGTTTGAAATTTGAGCATTGAAAGTGTTTTATAAAAAATTGTCTAATAGTGTTATTTTATCCCTGTTTCAACACAGGATAACACTGCTCCTGTAGGATATGTATTATCAGATTACATTTTTTCACCCCTATCATTAACTTAATAGCTACTAGTATACAGGCTTTCAGTAGATAAATAATGCAGTATCAGTTTTAGAATAACAAAAACTTTCAATCTGATACTGTATATATGGTATATTTGAATGCTATAATATATCAAAGAAAGTGAAGTTTGCATTGTTTGTTATAAACAGTCATACAAAATTTAATCTGCAAATATTGATCTCCCGAAAGCTCAGCATCTTTGAAATGTAAGACAAGAAATTCTTACTTTGTGGCGGAAAAGGTTAAAGCTTGGCAATTATTCTGAAAAAGGGTGATGATTATATAAAAAAATGGATATCAGTTATAACATTCAACAAGTAGACTAGACTATAAGTTATGTTCTCAAAATAAGAAAATCCTTTACCCTTACCCTGCTGAATTTCTAATATTGACTTGTCCAGCTTTCATTTTTTTGGATTGTCCATTTTCAATTTTTAAGGGTAATCAAGCTAAAAAGTTTAAATAAGTCAGCCCACCAGTATAGAGCCTGGTCAGACTGCAGGACAGGCTCTATACTGGTGGCAAAGTCAATCACTTAATGTTCAAGCACAAGTTTTAAGAGTTAAAAATGGTAAGTTCCAGATACATAGCAGGACATTATAAAACATTTAGCAGTGCAAGACATATGATTGCACACCCTTAAAATTATATGATGCATTAAATTTGGAATTGTGCGTTAACCCTGCTGGTAGCAACAGAATCTGCTCATGTGACTAGTGCAGACCAAGATCATTCAACACATACATGCCTTCTGATTGTGGTCTGATTTAAAATATTCCCCTTTAAGTGAAGAATGGTTTTGTCTTGATTGAAGAATTGATAAGTCCATTTAAGATATTTAGGGTGGTATGGTTAAAATGTTTCAATATTGGGCAGCCAGGCAGAGTATAAAAGTCTTTTTAGGCTGTATACGGTTCTAAATTTGTAATGTTAGTATATTATTGCTGCTGGTAATAAAACTGAAAGTGATGTGAACAAAAACAATTTTATGACCATATTAATGTAGGTGAGACTGTCACGCAAAAAAAAATGTTTACAGGCAAAAATGATGAATGCTACATATTAGATCTTCAAGTTAGAGCTTTGCAGTGATGAAAATATTAAGTAGTAAAATACAGGAAGTTGTTAGACCAAGATTAAGTAAAGCAATTCTTCAGTGTAATAGGATGGTAGTCTTCACAAATCTTCCTGTTTTATTCTTTTCTTTTTAATATCGGTTTAACTATTGATTTTCTCACTTTAAGTGACACTAAGTACTAAAACAATACTATCTTTTTTTGTTATTGCTGTTGCTCGTTGTATAGCTTTTCTGTACTCGAAATTTTGTATGTGTGTGCTTGAGTGTATGTGCTTGCGTGCATGTGTGTGAGTGTGCATGTTGAGATTATTTTCTCTCCGAACAAAAGTGAAACTCTAAAACTTTAGTCATTTTAAGTTTACAATTTTAAAATTTTTATGATAAAGAAGAATCTAAATGCAGTCACTATGAGTTTTGAATTAGATTTTAAGATGATTTGTGATTTTTCAGTTAGTTTATCACAAAGTTTAGAAAAAAGATTTCTTGCTATGTTTTGTAAATGAACTACATGTATGTCAGTTATTTCTGATGATTCAGTAAATTTTGCAACATGATATAAATGACATTCTATCTGTTCTAGTTTTCCAAAGTATTGAGAATCTCTGCTGAAATGAAATGGTCTTTGAATACCTATGACAAAAACATCATTATAAAATTCTCAATATTTAAGCTCAAATTTATAAAAACAATTTGAGTCTATAATCCAAACTGACCCAATTAGTGGTAATATTGAACAGTTGGTAAATCTTTTGTCTGCAACTACATACCTCATTGACAATTTGACCATTAAAAGATCTCTGTTGAACTTCAAACTTCACATAATTATTATGTCATTGTGATAATAATTGTGGCCTTGTTTTATTTGTAGTTCACTTAAACATAATGGTTTTTGAAGAATTATACCCTTCACTGAAATATGCCTGTTATGAAGTTTTTCTAGCTTACTTATTTTTCATGATTCTAGGCAAAGCTGTATTAGTTATAATCAGAGAAAGCCTGGGTTTTATGTCACTTATTTGACAAAAAAGTAGGAGAAATTTAGACAGCTCATTTACCAAAGCTCTCAACAAATAGTCTTATAAGTACTTGCAATGTCTGACAGGGTTTTATGTGTATATTTAAGTCTCTTAGGTATCATGAAAATCTTAACAGAAACTGTGATAATTTAGGATAATGTAGAATATCACATGTTTTGTTGTATAAAAATTGTCTGAAATTTCTTTGCACTTTTCAGGTGAAATATTATGTCTGGAAAAAATGGCTAAGTCGACAAATATTACCATTTAATGGAATGAATTCTGAGAAATTATTTAGTTGTAAAAATTCAATCTATTAAAAACTCCCAACATTAAAATGTACTGTAGAATGAAAAATGATGACAATCAGATATACATGTAAGAAATAAATAGATCTGAACTTTAGTCATATTGTAAAAAAATGAGTATTTTTAAGGGAAAAAATAGAAAACAAAGTCAAATGAAAAAATTAAAATATTAGTCAATAGAAAATTTCCAACCTTCTTTTCAAGCAATTATTATAATTGAAAGGTTTGTCAAGTATATTTTCATATCTATTACAGCTTTGGTTGATCCTGGTAAAATTGACATACCAATTGCTTCTGTGGGACCAGTAAATGCTCAACAATATATATCACATAACAAACTTGGTAAGTTTATTAAATCTAATGTTTAATATCTTATGAAATCTTGGTAAACCCTTTAAAGTTTGTATATCTCATGACAAGAGTGGTAATTGTAAATACCTCATGAATACCTCATGAGTTTGACAAGCCTGGTAAATTCATGTTATAATGTTTATACCTCATAAAATCATATGATAATGTTTATACCTCATGACAATCCAGGTAAATTAATTTGACAATGATAATTACTCATGACAAGCCTGGTAAATTCATTTGATATTGTTTATTTTACATACGTAACAAGCTTTGGATTTTCTTTTAATAATGTTTATAACTCATGACAAGCTTGAATGTCTGTTTTGTTTTAATGAAATCATTTTATGAATTCTTTGATATTTTATTTGTATATAATATACTGGTTTATATTTCTGTTTCAGCTCAAGGAGTATTAACATTACAATTAAAAGGGACACCATCTGAAACTGCAGGTAAGACTTATTAGTATGTTTATAATATTATGTGATAACTGCATTTACAGGTATGTTCATGGTTATAATTATGTACATATATGTTTTGTCCATCAGTTCAGGGTAATGACTAACATCAAAAAAATCTAGAAAAATTATTTCCAGTCCTGTCATGTCAAAAACTTAATTGGAATCCTTATAAATCCTCAATGTTGACATTATCTGTATGTGACTAAGCCGAGAATGTCATTAATGTTTTGGATTTGATATCCTTGGTTGTGTAATGGCCCTTTTAGTTTTTAGATAAACCATGTATGAATAAAAAAGGGGGTGGGGTGCACTTAGGGGGTCATGACCCTCCCTTAGACATTGTTAGAATGTATGAAATATAATATTACATCAAGGTCTGGATATTAACTTCATTTTTTACTGCAAATCATGCAGTAATATTACCTATGAACCTCCCCTGCCCCTAGTAAACTAAAAAAACCTCTTAAATATGCATTACATCTTGCTGAATGGTTCTCAGTTAGAGGATATTTCTATAAAAAGAATAGGTAGATTATGTCAAGAAACAAATTTCGCTAAAACATGATGTCAACTTTGATGATAATAGCTGGAACTTGTAGGATGGTTTTATTTGTAAGTTTTTTTAGGTACAGAAATTTTTGAATCTACAGAACTGTAGTACTTTTAATAAATAAATTTTGATATACATTATTTTCAGTTCTGGAATATTCTATAACATATAGATTTCACTATTTTTGAAATGTAAAAGAATTTATAACAGAAAAAATAGTATCATAATACATGTACTGTCAAGAGCATTTGTGTGAAAAATCAGCCAAGATAATTTATTGTTATTTATGAGCATTTAATTTAGATCAATATGTCTGGCCTATTAAGAGACTGATACAATTTTCTTTCCCAAGTGTTCATTATGTTTGATATATCTTTAGGGAGTTTTTAGCTATTAGGAGGGCCAAATAAACACATTTGATTGAAAACTAATGTTATATGAAACCACAGTTTCAGTAAACTATTTAGGTTATTTTTTCTATATATAAATATATACATGGTGAGTGCCAATTTTTTGTTGTTCAGAAGTATTATTTATAATGTATTATACGAGGGTTGATCAATATATTCATGGACACTATTAATAACTTAATAATTAATCAAGATATTATAAAGATTTTTTGCTATTTAGGAGAAGAATTTAATACTATTCAAACATATTGTGATTTTTTAAAAACAAATTTCATTTTGTTCATTATATGTATCGCCACAGCAACCCTATACCGTACGAACGCCGCAGCTCAAAAAAAAGTTATATTTACCATTTTGAAATACTTAAAAAATGTCCTTATTTTGGCGTGCTTCTTTAAAATATGAAAATGACGGCAATGTTCTTTCATATCGTTTATAGAACATTAAAAAAAGCAAGCGTCGCTACTATTTCTTTTGTTTGTTGGAGATGTTAATGGAGACAGGGGTGTGTCACCAGAGAGGAGCACGACGTTGTTGGAGCAGAGGGCAGTAATTAAGTTCTGTGTAAATCTTGGTATGACGCCAAAGCAAACTAAAGAAAACATGGAAATTGTATCTGGAACAAAAAAAGTGTCTTATTCGTTAGTTTATAAGTGACACATACACTTCTGTGAGGGTAGAGAAGAACTTCAAGATGATAAGAGATGCGGCAGACCAATTAAAACTTGTTGCGATGCGAACGTTATGCGAGTGAAATTGAAGGCAGAGTTAAAGGGACACAAGTTAACCGGGTTCCATGATTTGCAGTCCATAGCATTGTCTGTGTTGCGTTCATTTGATACTTCATTGTATAAGAACATTTTCAGTCGGTGGGTACACAGGCATGAACGATGTGTAAAAGTTGGTGCTGCATTGTTTTTGAGAAGATGTAACGCCGACGTCACGACGTAACGTAAGAAGCAAATGAGCTGCGGCGATCAGCTTTACATGTATTTCTTAAAACTGTCATTTCGGATAAAATATATGGATTATTTATCTGAAACTTACACATCAAATTGATAAATAATTGAATAAATGTCACATATAATTATATTAACTTTCCTTCCCCAAAAAAACAATTTATGGAGTGTGTCCACGAATTTATTGATCAACCCTCGTATAAAGAGTTGATATACTGGTTTCTTACAGATGAAGATATACATTATACAAGGTTACGTATAGGGAAATGTAAGAGACAGTCTGGTGAAGTTTTAGCTACACAAGCATGGGAAGATTGCTGCTCTTTCTTTATTTATGATCTCTCAACAGAAAAGGTCAGTTCATTTGATGATTTCTTGGTGTGTTTATTTATTTCTTATTCATTTTACTACTGATTTACTTGGTTGCTTATTTTACTTGTCCCATTCTGGTGTGGTTTGAAATCCTAAGTGTCAGGTGGTTCTTCTCAGGTGTCTACTTTTGCCTTAAATAATAAAGGGTACAGAAGTGTAAAGCTCCATGAAGAGTAAAGCTTGAAGTCACAAGAGTAAAACTCCAAACAATCAGAACAAAAACAGGGTTAAAGTAAAAGAAAATTATGTTACTTATTATTATTCAGCTCCAACAAAACTTAACATATTATATAAATTCTTCATGGATACCCCTTCGTGACCAGTTTTTCATAAAAATGGTAATCATCTTATGTTAATGAAATGTAGTTCAAGATGACATTTATATGAAGATATAGGGATTATCAATTGCCACATGTACCACTGCTTCACGTACCTTTGCAGTGCTAAATTTGTGTGCTAAATTTGTTCTACCATAAATTTAAAAAGAACTAAAATTAAGCATGATATGATATGATTTTATTTTATAGCAGTCCACAACCTAGAGATGTAACCTTGTCTGGTTGTATATTTCTGACTTTGGCAAATCTTGATTGCTACTCAGGTTATTTAATGTAACATGTTTTTATTTTCAGTTGAATATCAAACACAAGTGTAAACGTTTATTAAACACTGTGACATTAGAGCAACATGACCTTAAACTTTCATCTTTCCCTTTTAACCTAGAGAAACAGTAAGTATATATGAATTTTCATAGTTTTGTTAATGTGTGAAAATATAGGAAAAGGGAGTCTATATAATAATGTACTTATACTTATATACTTATGGGGGGGGGGGGGGTAGGGAGTGGTTGAGGATCATAGAGGAGAACAAAGTACCTTTTTTTAGCTCACCTGTCACAAAGTGTCATGGTGAGCTTTTGTGATCGCTTTTCTTCCAGCGTCCGTCCATCCAGCGTCCGTCCGTTAACTTTTACTTTAAGCGACATTTCCTCATAAACCGCTAAGCCAATTTCATCCACAATTCACAGGAATTTTCCTTTGGTTGTCAATTTTAAAAATTATTCAAAGAATTTAATTCCAAGCAGAACTTGCCATGGCAAGCGAAAGAAAAAACTTAAAATATCTCCTTTTAGAAAACCGAAAAGAGCTAGAGCTAGAGCTTATGTATTTGGCATGAAACATTATCTAGTCATTGTCTACCAAGTTTGTTCAAATAAATGTTGAAATTAGCCCCGCCCCGGGGGAGGGGGGGCCTTGATTTTCCTTATTTGTATATAGTAAAAACTTAAAAAGTTGTCTTTTAAAAAACCCAATTAGCTAGAGCTTAGATATTAAGCATGAAACATCCTCTAGTGGGTGTCTACCAAGTTTGTTCAATAAAAGCCCTGGGGTAAAAATTGGCCCCGCCCCAGGGGGTCATTGATTTTCCATATTTGTATATAGTAAAAACTTTGAAAAAAATTTCTTTTAAAAAACCAAAATAGCTAGAGCTTAGATATTAAGCAAGACACATCTTCTAGTGGGTGTGTTCCAGGTTTGATCAAATAAAAGCCCTGGGGTCAAAATTGGCCCAGCCTCAGGGGTCATTGTTTTCCCTCTCTGTATATAGTAAAAACTTAAAAAATCTTCTTTTAAAAACCCCAAATAGCTAGAGCTAAGATATTTAGCATGAAACATTTTCTAATGGATCTCTACCAAGTTTGTTCAATAAGAGCCATTGGGTTAAAATTGGCCACTCCCCGGGGGTCATTAATTTTCCTTATATGTGTATAGTAAAAACTTAAAAAATCTTCTTATAAAAAAACCCACAAAGCTAGAGTTTAGATACTAAGCATGAAATATCTTCTTTTGAGTGTCTACCAAGTTTGTTCAAATAAAAGCCCTGGGATAAAAATTTGCCCCTCTGAGTGGAGTCTTCATTTTTCCCTATATGTATATAGTAAAAACTTAAAAAATCTTCTTATAAAAACCCAAAAGAGCTAGAGCTAAGATATTTATCATGAAACATCTTCTAATGGGTGTTTGTTCAAATAAAAGCCCCTGGTTTAAAATTGGCCTTGGCCCAGGGGCCTTTATACAGGTGAGCTATTTCAGGGCCATCATGGCCCTCTTGTTTAAATTGACAATTTAAAAAGTTAATTTACATGTAGTGAGATTATGAGTGTTTGCCAATTAAACATTTTTTTTTGTTCTGCAGGATTAATCAGGAAGTAGAGAATATAGATGGGAGTAAATTAAGTTTGACATTGACGTATTCACCCCTCCCACCCATTAACCTGGAAGAGGAGGAACCAGTATGTGTTCTACAACGTAAGTCATATTCTCCTGACCCTAAATCCACATTTAAGTTCAATGTGTGCAAGGTGTGAATAGTTGTCATCATTAATGTTGATGTCATCAGTCTATAATTATTTTGTATTTTCATAGCTGAACACAACACAGCTTAATATAGAGAGCAGGGCATCACATTTGTAATGCAGGGGTGTAATTAGTCAGAAATTTGGTTGAGGTGAATTTTCTGCTGAGCAATTGATCTTGGTCATAATATGATAGTCATTAATAATGTTTTTCAGCAGTGATTTAGAAACAATACGAAATTTGTAGTTGGTATCTGGTCATACATCTGGTGAACTTTTTTTGAAGATTAAGTTGGAGATTTTTCTTCAAAAAATGGGAAATCTCCTTCAAAAAGAGGGAGGTTTTAGAATAAACAAAGAAGGGAGTTCTGACATCAAAAATAGGGAGATTTCTTTAATTTGTGAAAATACCCCTTATTTTAAGAAGAAAAAAATGGGATTTGAATTTTGAACGTAATATTGTTGTTTATTATTTTTTATACAGATCTACTGTTTTGAAATTATGCCCATTTGACACAATTCATAAATTATTTTAAAAGATTTAATTAATAAGCATATTTGGTGGTTGTGTTTTGGGCCAAGGCACTTTCCTTTAATAATTTAGTGTAGTGCTATTTTCTCTATTTTATATACTGTCTACATAATGAAGGCTGCTTTACTGTAATATTTTTTTAGTAATTAAATTTTATGAAATATGGAAGCTATATAGCTTGTTATATGTGACTGTTCCTTACTGGTTTCATCATCTCTTTTTAACAAGACAAAATATCTGTAGAAATTGAGAAATTCCTTTCAGAAGATTTTCTAGGAATTGCTGACATTTATGTTTAGCTACACTTACATAAATTTTATCATTGCTGGGACAAAACTCTTTTGAAAAATGGCCAAATGATTATGGAAACAATATAATTTTACTATTTATAGATTTTGTTGAAATATAAAATCATAAGATTTAGCTTTATACTATTTAAGCTTATAACAACAGTAACAACAGTCAAGGTCTAGTGTCAACTTTAAAAGTCAATCTTTAAAAGTTTCTGATTTTTAACGAGATACCATTATATCATTTGTTTAAATCTTTACCCTGCAGTATACTTGTAACAGACTTAAATTTTGTACTTTTGTTGTAAATAAACTATGTATATTTTATAGCAAAAAGAATGGTAGAACACTGTATTGTTATGTTTAAATGTTTACCAACATGTTGCAGCATGGTCCAGAGGTTTACACATCAGAGTAGTAATTAAGGATCTCTAGCGGTGTGGGTTCAAACCTTATTAGGGACAAGCGGTTGTTTCCATTAGCAAGAAACTTTACGCTCATTGCTTAGTACTGGTTGCTTCCAGGAACAGATTCCAGAGTGTGTCTATAAGCTTATAGCTTTCTACACAATCAATCTGTAATAAATTCTGTGTAAACTAACACGTTCTTTAAACGGAAAACAATTTTCCTACAAATAGGACAAATTTTGCATTTGGTTGATTTTTGGTGATTCTTGATAATATTTAACTTTTTATGATGATAACTTAATAGAATTTAACTGATTTATGATGATTATATTAAAATTGACCTGTCCAAACAACTTTTTATAGTTTATGAGGATCAGGATTTGGTATGTTTAAGATGATTACTGATTAAAATTTCGCCTGTTTATGATGATTTCATGATAAATTATTATAGTTTATGATGGTTACTAATCATAGTTTATTTGGTGATAACTTACCCAGTATATGATTGTTTACAGTTTATGATGATTACTGATAAGAGTTTAAGCTGTTTGTGATGATTACTGAGAAGAATTTAAGGTGTTTATGATGATTATTGAGAAGAATTTAAAGTTGTTTATGATGATAACTGATAAGAATTTAAGTTGTTTATGATGATTACTGATAAGAGTTTAAGTTGTTTATGATGATAACTGATAAGAATTTAAACTGTTTATGATGATTACTGATAAGAATTTAAGCTGTTTATGATGATTACTGATAAAAAATTTAAGCTGTTTATGATGATTACTGATAAGAGTTTAAGCTGTTTATGATGATGACTGATAAGAATTTAAGCTGTTTATGATGATTACTGATAAGAATTTAAGCTGTTTATGATGATTACTGATAAGAGTTTAAGCTGTTTATGATGATTACTGATAAGAGTTTAAGCTGTTTATGATGATTACTGATAAGAATTTAAGCTGTTTATGATGATTACTGATAAGAATTTAAGCTGTTTATGATGATTACTGATAAGAATTTAAGCTGTTTATGATGATTACTGATAAGAGTTTAAGCTGTTTATGATGATTACTGATAAGAATTTAAGCTGTTTATGATGATTACTGATAAGAATTTAAAGTTATTTATGATGATTACTGATAAGAATTTAAAGTTGTTTATGATGATTACTGATAAAAATTTAAGCTGTTTATGATGATTACTGATAAAAAATTTAAGCTGTTTATGATGATTACTGATAAGAGTTAAGCTGTTTATGATGATGACTGATAAGAATTTAAGCTGTTTATGATGATTACTGATAAGAATTTAAGCTGTTTATGATGATTACTGATAAGAATTTAAGCTGTTTATGATGATTACTGATAAAAATTTAAGCTGTTTATGATGATTACTGATAAGAGTTTAAGCTGTTTATGATGATTACTGATAAGAGTTTAAGCTGTTTATGATGATTACTGATAAGAATTTAAGCTGTTTATGATGATAACTGATAAGAATTTAAGCTGTTTATGATGATTACTGTTTGAAATGGTTTCTTCAGACTGTCATTATTGTTCAGTTTCAGAAGAGATAAGTTGAGTCATAAAGTGACACTAACATAATGTGAAGATAGTATAAAAATAGTAATTAAGATTTGTGTTTATCTTCCTTATTATATATGACTCACCAGTTTTTTATATTGTAAAAAACAACATTGAACAGACATTGTTGTTCAGTATCAGGTTCTCTCAGGGAAACACACACTGTTGAAATATGTGTCAATTAATTTCAAGGATGAACATTTTCTCATTTTCTTAAACTAATTATCAGCTTTTCTTAAATCTAGGAAGGGCAAAAATAGAATAGAAAAGATAATGCAGAGTTTTATTTAGTGTTAGTGAATATGATTACAAAATTGTTAGGCTAGTTTTTATTAGATACAACATAATATTATAGCTTGGCAATGAATTAAACATTTTCATTTAGAAAGACATTGGATTGCATTTCACTGTTTTAGCTCATCTCAGCACAAAATGGCGCAAACAGGAGATTTTTTGATGACCCAATATTTGTCACTGTAATCTGTCACTTTCTATTGGCTAGAATTTCTGTAAACAATATCTCCTACTTATACATACGGTAGATTTTGACCGGATGTCACAGGTGGTCCAATTATTTTCATTATAAATTGTACCAGTCTGTATTGAGAGATAGGAATGTATATATATACATGTATATACATGTATAAGTGAAATTTTTAAATAAAAATGTTGTTGACAGAAAAAGACACAAACCCAATGTTAAGATGTTTGATATTTGATATTGTCTTGTGAGTCTTGATAAAGTAATATAAATGATTACCTTTAGGTCAAAATTGGTCGCATTCTGGGGACCATTTGTTTCAAATACATTGAAACACAATGAAAGACAACAAGGCCAATAGGTGATCTGTTTTATGTGCAGCATTTTCTTGTACACTGTATATGTTTTTATATAAAGAGTATACTTTGATAAAACTTGACTCTTATGTAATAAAATTTTACATATGAAAGATTTTTAAAAATATCCAATCAGAAAACAAAATAGTGTAAAGTATTCTTGTATGATTATGTATTAGGATTCTAAAAAGTTACCTAAATTTTGGCCCTGATGCCCTGTCAGGTCAATATTGGCCTTATCTTAACTTTTCCTTTTTACTCAAGGGATGAATATGGACCCTTTAGCATCATTCTCTTATTTGTCAAAAATATTATTATATAAATGTGTTGATGTTTGTATAGTACAGTGAATGTTATACAGTATCCATATTTATGTTTCAGGATCTGGGGTATTATATGTATGTGTTCATAGTGCCAGTAATGTTATTGCCATGGACAAGTCAGGGTCATCTGATCCATATTGTGTTGTATTCTGTGATAGAAGAAGGGTAAGATTTCTCACATCCAGCATTTATACCATGTCTATATTGTATATATCATAAGTCATTGTGCTTCTTTCTTCTCTTAGACCATTCTTTTTAATGTTGTCATAATAATAAGGTAAAAGATGATCTTTTTGGGGCCTTTGTTGGTGAGCAGTTTATTGTTGTTAATCTGAATAACAATTGGTAGGTAAAGATTTTTTCATGTCAGAAACTTGTGACGTCTTGTGACAGTTCAAAATTCTTCCCTAATAGACACCTGATGCACACCTGATTCAGGTCTCTCTTTACCAATAAAGCTCATCTCTAGAAGATATGCTACAGAGTTTTATATGTTTGATGTTCATTTTTAGAATATTCTCATTTCTAATTTGATATTTAATTTACTCAAGTCTACTTATGTAGGAAATAAACTTTATTTGCAAACTTTATTATTACTTTTAGGAAACAGATTTATTGTTTGGCAATATTAATCTCAGACAATTGAAATTTCAATGACCTTTTTGATAATTTACGGATCCCAAAGAAAACATGCATATTTAAATCTGGTTATAATGATAAATATACTTACAATTGATAGCATATTACTTGCTTTACTTGCTTCATTGACTATGTGGTAAGACTCTCAGTTTCTAACTGAAAGTTGTAGGTTCGATTCACAATAAATTTTTTTTAGCTCAACTGAGCAAAAAGGTCTAAGAGGTGAGCTTTAAGGATGGTAAGCTCTCCTTCGTTCATTGTTGTCCACAATTTTTTTAAACAAATCTCCTCCTAAACTACATGGTGGATTTTGACCAAACTTCACAGGAATGATCCTTATGTGACCTACACAAAAATCTTATATATAATTCAATACTGATGCATAAGTAGGTCACAGGAGCTTAAAATAGATTTGACTCCCCAGGGGACACTTAGTTTATATAGATATGTATAGGAAAATACATTGCCTAGAAGAACACTACACAAGTGATATAAATCATGCCCCTCAGGAGTCATTAATTCTCTCCTTGGTTTCACTAATAGTTACATAGAAAAATATAGAAAAATGCATTTATGTTTTCCAAATAAGCTCTCAGGCAAGACATACTAGTAGCTCAAGTGTGTGATCTAATTCAGAGCAGTGAAGGAAAGAAGTTCTCTTCCGTCTAGAATTATTTTTGATATATAATGAGATTGTGCTCCGCGCATGCGCATCACATGTAGTTATATCATAAAAACAGTGATTACAGGAAATAGAAAAGAAAGAAAACATGAATGTCATGTAAAAGGTCATAACTGCCTTTGTTAACTTTTGTCTTATTGATTTTTTGGTTATGTTCAATAAATTCAGTTATTTTGAAACTTGATATGTGGATGCATCTTGATGCCAGTCACACCCATTTTTTGGTCAAAGGTCAACATTAATTTGACATACTTAGAAAAGTGGAGTGCACTGTTCCCTGGATAGCTCTTGTTATTATTTCAGTAAGAATAACACAATTATCCTTTTAGTCAGACAATTTGTGAGTAACATAATCATTATCACAATAATGTTGACCTGTACTCTACATAGTCTAGACCATAACAGTGTAACTTGGACAAATAATTAATGGAACAAATGTATAAGACATGTACATAATTATCAGTATTTTATTATTTTAGGTTCTAACCACACCATACATACTTCAGAATCGAAACCCATCATGGCAGTCACAGACAGAATTCTTTGTCAGAGATTTCTCTCAGGTATTGTTATTAATTAACTACCCATTTATAAAAAAAACTGAAATTTTTAATAGTTATTCATCATGAGATAACGAGAAATTTAGTTCATGTCATGATTGTAGTCATGTTGGATAGTCACGATTGTAACATATGTCTCTACTTGCATTTACATGGGAATACTGTCATTGTTCTTTTGTTCATGTGGTTTATTTATACATGTATCATGACTGAATTGATTACTTATATGAAATATTCCTTGTAATGAAGGTACTTCAATCTGGAAATAATTTCAAATTATTCAATTTCAAATTTCATCAAACAGCAAGGGGTATAATAAAAAAACAGTACATTTGATTTGGGTGTTAGATGTCTAATGCAAACCTCTTTTCTGAAGAGTATTCATTTTTAGTAAGGATACTGAGTTTATGATGGGCGTGGGTTCAAGTCGTACTAGAGGCAAATTTTTTGTACCTTTTTTATTCCTTTTATCTGGTCAAATTATAGTTTTCGTCTTTCTTTTTTCTCCTTTGTTTTTGCAATATTGAATTATTTCAATATGTTTTTTCTTTGGTTTTGCTTACCAATTCTAAAGTTAGACTAAGATGAAATAAGTTAAACTCATCTTCAAACTCAATTTCAAGAAATATATCTGTAGTGTTATAGACATACATACATGTTTTAATAAAGTGATTATATATAAACTACAAGTCATTTACATATACATGTAGTTACATGGTTATATGATGTGATATATAATAGCATGAACATAATTCTGTACTTAACACCTGCAACATATTAATTTAATATACATGTTCTTGATATATACTGTATAATGTTGGTTTTATGTTAGTACATCATTTACTTTATTCTTAGTTTGAATATAAAAATAAATAGTTCAAAATATAGGTATAACTTGCACTAGTATAAACACAGCTATAACTTGAACATTTTCTGTCTTAATCAAAGCTCTTCTTGAGCCTTGGTATGATTGTTGTAACAATTTTAACACATGAGCATTATGAACATATGAATTTGTCGACTCCTATGTTGTCACATTTTAGATGTAATCTGTTTATAGTTTACCCTCAGTCTGCTGGAGTGGCGGCATGACCGGGTTGTTAATGCATCAGACTTGTTAGATTGCTGACCGTGAAGGTTCAGATGCTGCCAGGGACAAACTGTTGTTTCCTTGAGCATGAAACCTCGCATTTATTGCTTAAAGTTACATTAAATAAATTTGTTAAAATATTTTTGCCGTCGGCCTAAAAACCAAGCATTCTACAGTTTCATTAACTTTTTTAACAGTATCGTTGTAAATCTCATCAAATATTGTTCATAAATTAGGATTTTAAATGGAAAACCCCACGGTAACACTAAAGTTTGTATACGAATTTTAACATGCAAATGAAGACTATAATCAGCTCGTGGTATGCGCTACGTCACGGAGTTATAGTTGCTATCCGGAACACAGCAAATATAAGATTTTCTTGTGCAAACTAAGCTTCACGGTGCACTAGGCCTGTGGTTCAGAAAAAATAATCATCTCATAAAAAAGATTAAATTTGTATAAAATATCCGCTACAATGCGGAAATATACCGTTAAATTAGGACTGCTACTTATAGTCATGTTTAATATTGATGTACGGATGATCTGAAGGCGGAGTTTCTCATGCAAACAGAAATTGTACTTCCGAATTCACCACAATGAGGTTGCACATTTGTATGCTCATTAAACTCATTTTTAGCTCGACTATACGAAGTATATGGAGAGCTGTCCTACTCGCCCCGGCGTCCGCGTCCAGATTTTAGATTAAAGTTTTGGTGCAGTAAAATATTTTTCACTATAACTTTGTCATTTCTTAAGGTATCAACTTCAAACTTCAAATATATGTTCCTTATCATCAACCACATCTTATGTGACAAGGTTCATAACTCTAGCACCAATATTTTCAGATTTATCTCCCCTTGAACTTAGAATTTTCCTTAAAAAATACTATTTTTTACTGTTACTTCTTTATTTCTTAAGGGATCAACCTCATACTTCAAATATATGTACCTTATCATCATCCCCATCTTATGTGACAAGGTTCATAACTCTAGCACCAATATTTTCAGATTTATCTCCCCTTGAACTTAGAATTTTCCTCAAAAAATACTATTTCTTACTGTTTCTTCTTTATTTCTTAAGGAATCAACCTCATACTTCAAATATATTTACGTTTACATCATCCCCATCTTATGTGATAAGGTTCATAACTATAGCACCAATATTTTCAGATTTATCTCCCTTTGAACTTAGAATTTTCCATAAAAATATTATTTTTTACTGTTACTTATTTATTTCTAAAGGGATCAACTTCATACTTCAAATATATTTACGTTATCATCATCCACATCTTATGTGACAAGGTTCATAACTCTAGCACCAATATTGCAAGAATTATCTCCCCATAAACTTAGATTTTTTTACTAGAAAAATGTTATTTTTTATTATAACTTTTTTATTTTTAAAGGTATCTACCTCTAACTTCAAATACTTATTCCTTATCATCAATTACATTTTATGTGACAATGTTCATAACTCTTGAAGCAATATTTACAGATTTATCTCTCTTTGAACTTAGGATTTTCTTTATGAATATAATAACTTCTTTACTTTTTAAGGTATCTACTTCAAACTTCAAATATATATTTCTTATCATTACACAAATGTTGTGTGGCAAGGTCCATAACTCTAGCATGACTATTTCTAGAATTATTCCCCTTGATCTTGGAATTTATGTTTACAAATGTTATTTTTTTACTATAACTTACATAATTATACATAATTGATTTTTCTTTCATAGTTTTGTCCTCCTTACTGCGTCCAGTATTTTATTAGTCGAGCTTCGCTGTCTCCTGTGACAGCTCTTGTTTGGTTGCCTGGACACCAAAATAAGATCTGGAGTCGATATGAAACCCAATTTATTAATGAAATGTCGCTATTTCTTTTTTTATGAAATTTATTTAATGTAACTTTAATACTGGTTGATTCCAGGAACAGATTCGAGAGTGTTTCAATAAGTTTATAGCTTACAACACAATCAATCTAAAATAGATTTTTATAAACTAATCTGCTGGATCCAAAAATGATAGCCTTTACCAGCAGTATAGAGCCATGTTATCTAACCAGACTCTATCTAGTTGGTAGCACAAATTTTGTATTGTTATTGACATTGCATAAAATACTGTTTCATATTTTATACTGGGCAAATTTATTACCCGTGTTCAGCAGGTTACGAGTTAGCCTATATAATAAAGCATTAACTGTTTGGACTAGTAAACTATAGCAAGAGATATAGCCTTTATAATCTATGAAATAAAGTACATGTACATACAAATTTACTGAATAGAATTATCTGTAATCATAATTGTATCATAAAAGTTTTTTTCATTTAAAAGCTTTCCTTGAAAATCAATTTAACAAAGTGAAAAGAAAATAATTTAATAAAGTGAATGTAAAAGATGAAATTGTATATATTTCAGTGTCAGTTATCATTTTATGTATTTGATTGGGACGGAACTAATACTATCAATGATGATTTTCTTGGTTCAGCTATGCATGCCATGTCGGAGGTGAGTAGGATTTCTTTGTTTGTAACTATATATATATATATTGTCATTATATAAGGAGCTAGGTCGTTACTGCACTAAGGTTATGATATACACTGTGTATTTTAACCATGTATAATAATATCTCTATGAAATAACAATGTTAAAGAGCATTGTAGAAAAGGAGGTCCAAAAGCATATAAACATAAAATTTGAAATTCTTACATATATAAACTGATCACTAACTACAATTACAATTTCTAACAACAATGTGACAGAGGGCAGTGAACTAGAGCTTTGAGTTCAAATGTTTGTGAAATTTGATGGGTGTGAATTCTATCCCAATAAAGAGTGGAACTTTTTCTGATGCAGTTTGTATTTTAATTGTTTGTAAGATCTCTGTTTCCCATAGCTATTCTCATATTCTATTATTTGATATCATTTAAGTTTTGTATCTTAACATAATCAATATGTCCAGTTTTAGAACTGTACACTGATATTTTTAGGGAATTCAATATCAAAATACTGAAAACACAGGAATTTACCTGATAGGTCATATTGTACAAAATTGCTGCTGACAGGCTTATAATTGCTATGGTATATACAAGTCTTTATTTCAATCATTACAGAGGGAGCCCTGTGTACTTAACAAGGCTCTTGTCCTTGGGTACAACAAGAGAGGTGAAGGTCATGTTACAGATGTATCACTTGGACAAATTTATGTATCCATTATCTTCCGCCCAGTGCCTTCAGTGGAAAAATCAGGTAAGGAATTAATCATACATATTACTGTGTCTATTATTAGAATTATCTACTTCTAACAGGTGTGTCCTTCATGCATGAGTACAAAAGTTACTTTATGTATTTTTGTATATAAGGAGTACTGTTTTGACTTTGACCTCTAAATGAATTTTATCTTCAAAATCAAATTAAAGAGTTAGTGACATTTAACCATAAATTTTCCTTGACATATTAACTTCATAAAGTTTATATTGACATACAACTTGTCCCTTAATGATCTTAACTTCGAAGACAAATGTTCAAAATTTACATCCCACCATATTAAAAATGACTGCTATTACCAAAACTATTACCCCATAACCTGCTGTCTATGTGACTAGTATAGAGCAAAGGCCAAGTCCATTACACTAGTTCACCGGGTTACAGGTAAATGTGAACAGATCAAGAACAGAAGCCTTTGTTACTAGAACAACCATTGTGCAATTTTTTGCAACTTCAGTATGCACCTGTTTATAAATGTAAAGACCTTTAAAGTGGCCTTCAGCTTTTCTAACAGTTAATTATGTTATTTTTAGATAAATGGTTTCATATAATTATTAACCCATTACCCCATGAGCATTTTGTGAAAAATGGCTGTTTTCATTGAAAAGTCTCCCGTTACAAGTTCAAGTTGCTATAAAACTATAAAAACTGCTTCAATACTAATCAAACTTGGCACAAATGTTAACTGGACCATTGCCTTTGTAACAACATGCTCAGTCTGAAATTTCCTGTTACCATGGCAACTAGGGGACATCTCAAAGTTGCCAAAAATCACTATTTTGCGTTGATTTTTTCCATCAAAATTGATTTCAAAGTGCTGCCACTTCTCAATGGATTGAGATAGAGTCAAAGGCTTTTCAGCATTGGTTACACGTTACCTTATGATCGACCTGGGGCCATTTTTAGCCTCCCACAAGTCCAAAATTTTCTTGGCGATGAGGGGAACTCCGCCCCCCTTCAAACCCCCCTAACAGAAGGGGGCACATCCCCCTTCTGGCAACCCCCTGATGTATCTTTTGGATGGGGGGGGCCGCGCCGAAAAAGTGGTCAATTTTTTAAACAACATTTCTCAAACAAAAATAAGTGTTTGGGGGCCTAAATAAGGCATCTTTTCACCATTTGAGAAAGCAAAAAGGGGGGGGGGTGAAAAAGGCGTAGAAAGGCGTATATATCTGGTAATGGGTTAAATCAAAAGAATTAAGATAGAAATTGAAATCTGCAGACAATAAAATACATAAACAATTATTTAAGGAAACCAGTTAAATACCTCTAATATACTGGTCCACTCTTAATATTTAAATTAGTTAAGCAGACGAATAGTTTCCCGATCTTCTATTTTTAGACATGAACGTCACTGACATGTTATAAATAGTTATTGTAATGCTGTTTTGAGAAGGTTTGACAGTGATGTGATGTTCTTTTCATTGATTAAATTAATGAAATACTTATTTTGAAACATCACAGCATTGTTTTCCCAACAGAAAATAGAAGCTGAACACCACTTTTAAAAAAAGGTGGGAGTGTCTGTGGTTGAATTGTTAAGGCTATTGACTTTACACCACTTGCCTCTCACAGCTGTATGCTCGAGAAGCGCCAGCATCTTGAAATTCTTTTATGTTAGAAAGCTATATATACAACTACTCCGGGTGCCCATTTATGCCTGCACAAAGAGGCATCTGAGGTCTTCCTCTGCTAGAAAAGCTGGAAAGTCACCATATTACCTTGACTGTGTTGGTGAGATGTAAAATCCAATCAAAAAATAAGCAGGTGTATTATTAATTATCATAATTTGGTGTAAATTCTCAATATTCAAATTTATTTTAAGTTTATAGCAAATAAAGCATGCACCATGTCAACAGGTTGTTCTGTGTAATAGCTGATACTGTATATTTTATGTTATCAGAAAGGTACAGATTGACCAGTACTGATTCTATGAACAACAACAACAACGAGTTTCTGTATGTGGAGGACATGGTATCACCAGGTACTCGGGTATGTGTTCATTTTATATATTACACCTTCTGAACATTTACACTTATATAAACTATGTTATTGGTTTTCAGTCTCATAGCAGGGTTTCAAATGTTAAACTTTGTTTTTAGATGGATGAATGTTTGCAAGTGATTACTTGTGACCTAACTTTTTTGGTGTGTAATATAATAGTCATTTGCTTATTTTCTCATATGTTTATTATAGCAAAATATTTGTATTCTTTATATTGTTTTTCAACTTAAGTATCACATAACTAATATCATCAATTCATGAAATTCTTAGTTTCAAGGTCAAAGACTTAGTTTGAGCATGGTCCTTCCAACTTTTACATGTTTTAATGTCTGTTGATATTATGTTATAATGTCTTATATGTTATAATGTCATCTAAGACTAGAGCTTAAAGATGTTATAAATGAGAACAGTAATTGGTACAGAAGGCATGTAAAGTTTGTAAAAGACATTCTACAACTTAAAAAAGCAAAAAACTCACTTTCAGGGGAAGATTATTAAAAAAATAGATGGTGACCCCCAATTTTTTTCATCAAATTGTTCCAATCATGATTCTCTTTAATCATGCAAAATTAAAGAAAAAAGATTCTATGCTAGTTTAAATTTTCCTTTCTTAAGTCTTTGTAAAAAAAAAGTGCTACTCTCAGAGAAATCTTTAAAAGTTCCACTTTAAGAAATACATACTGCAAATTCACTTATATTCGTGGGCATGAAATTTCGTGGTTTTATCAAAACGGCCATTTTCGTGGGTTCTTAAATTCGTGGATTTTCAATTTCTTGTAAAAAAATAAAATAAATAACCTAATGCAAAGTAATGTTACACTTAATCGCCGCACATTTTACTTACCCCATGTACATATCTTTACGTATCACACAGCGCTTGTCAATAAATTTAATCCTTGCCTCTTGGCACTCATTACACAAAAATCAGCGGAAAAGCACCGATGCATGATTGTTATAATTATGTAGAGTAGAGACATGGCAAGAAGTATTTGTTGGGATAAAATTTGGATCTTAAATTCATGGATTGACGTAACCCAAGAAAACCATGAAAATTTGTCCCCCCAAATAATAATGATTTTACAGTACATGATTTTAATGTTAATCTAATCATGCCCAATATAATGCTTTATGTCATTTAAAATAAGAAACTGAAATTCTCATAATAAAATCTTGAAAAGTAAAGAAAGAAATTGTTTCATGACACACTAGAAAACAAGAGTCAATTTGCATCACTGTTTAATCATCATTAAAATCTACAGCAGGATAGTTTTATTATGTTATCTCAATTACGAGGGTGGTTCAATATGTAATGCTATATGAAGTATATTTTCTAATTTAACTTGTGATTCTTATGCTTGTAAACTATGCTTTGCTTCCAAAAAAAGTGTGTTGTCACCGATTGAGAATTTTTTTTACATTTAAAAATACCTTACATGAGTAACTTTATGTAAAAGTATGGCTAGTAAACATTCAGTTAAAAGCTCAAGCAAAACTAGGAATGTCTGCTATCAATGTTTATAATATTTGTAATATTTATGGCAATTATGCAACTTTTCCGAAGTAAATGCATAAATTCAAAAATGGGCACATGTCAGTTAAAGATGCATGTAAATCTGGTAGTTAATTAATGACAAATACATTCTTAAAGTCAATCTTATCATTGACCAAGATGTCAGACTTTCACTTACCCAGATAATCCATATCCTAGATATATTAAAAACTTACAAAATCTCTGAAGAATCACTTGAAAGTTAGGCGAATAACTGCCAGATGGTTACGCTCTTTGCTAACATCAGCAAGTGAAATGCGCTGGAAAATTACTGATGATGAAAGCTGGTTTCAATAATATTTGGGCCAGTCAACCATGCATTGCTGAGGGATTGACAAGTGTCAAGAAAGTTTTTATTTTTTTTTTCAATTCCCGTGGAACTGTTGTCTAAAGGCCTGTTTCTAGAGCAGAGGTTGTTCTGTCAAATCCAACTATTTCAGAGTTTGTCCTTTAACTGTATGAAAGCCTTGTATTTTCTGCATGACAATACTCTGCACACAAGGAAGCTACTGTGATTTTTTCAAGCAAAACAAGTGACTTTCCTTAAACATCCACCATATATTCTCCAGACTTTACACCCTGTGACTTTTATCCTCTTCCAAGACTGAAAAAACATCTTGCAGGTCATCGCTACAATGGACTTGTGTCCACTATTTCTCAGTTGTTGAAAAGTATACCTAAGGAGGAATATGTTAAAGCATATGGAAATTAGATTAAACATTTGAAACTTTGTATTTCTGTAGAAGGGGATTATTTTGAAGGGTTAAAATTGAAAATTATAAAATATTTGCACTTTTGTTCAATTTATTGATATTCTTACATTCATTATTGTAGAGCTGTTAGTGAATGTTTTAGATGATTTTGTGATTGTGAATTAATCTCTCTTCTTCAAACAGGAAAATAGCTTATTATAGAGACAAAAAGCTGTTCTAATTTGTCTGTAGTATAAAATACAGTAATTGTCTCTTTAATGGACCTTTAATAACCATAATATGTGAAGTCAGGGAATGATTAGATTCAAAGCTTGTCTGTCATGAAATTAGAAAACTACAGAAATTTGTGTTACATCACATTGAATTTTACTTTACCCACATGGTTTGTTTTAGTATTTACAAATATTTATTTTATATGTGTAAAATTTCTGTCAAAATTTAACTTTTAAGGTAAGGGACCTTGTCAAGGTTTTAAAATAAATGAAAAGCACTGGTCAGCAGGGAATTAATACTACAAATAATGACAAAAATATTATCATTTTGATATCAGGCGGTAAAAGAGAAATGGGGCTGGGATAAACATTTTTTCATTCCCCATTCAGTATTTGTACAAAGTTTTAAAGTCTGTATAAGTAAAAGTTGGCCAAAGGTTGTTGTATTGTACCTTTATGGCAGCTGTAAACAGTTACCACATACTTTGTCCTCAGTATTGTTCTATTAGTCTGTTTTATTATGTATTTGTCTGGTTTGTTAATTCCAATCTTTCCTGTAGTGATGAAAACTGCTTGTTATGTCTTTGCTAGCAGATGAGAGATATTTAACACATACACAAATAACTGTGGAGTATGCAAGTTTTACTGAAATTTTATGCCCTGGGCATAAAGTAATTGAACAGTCTGTCCACACAACCATGCTTTTTTTTATGCAATAATTGTACATTTGCTCATACAATCTTCGTTTATTGACTGATGGTTTTCATATTTAGAATGAAAGTACATTAGATGGCCCAGAGGTCAAATTCACCTGTGCTAGCAATAGATTTTTACACTTTTTCGTAAACAGCCTTTGTACCAAAGTTTTTTATACCTTGAAACATACCAAAGGACCTTGGATGGTCCTCTACGTTTGGGTGAACTTTCTAAGGGTCAGTGGGTTTAAGGTCAAGGTCTTGTATTTATATATATATTTGATTGGTCGAGTATTTTTCCAACTTCATCAAATAGCCATGACAACTTAATTTTTTTACAATAAGAAAAGGTCAATGTTACTGACAAGAATCTTGGCCAGGGTTATTTGTGTTTACCTAACATGTTCTTGTTTGTTTTATTTTATGTTTATTGCTTATTAGCACCTAAATATCTTTCAATATCTGAAGCTTGAAACGCTGTTATGAGGCTTAATTCTACAATGTGCTATAGTATGAAATTTATGAACATGTATATAGCTAAAAAATTGTTCTGGCAATATGATAAATGCTTCATTGCTTTAATATAAAATGAATGACTTGGTTTTTGTGTCACCTCTACAGAGTAGTGGGGACATATAGGGATCACTTCTCTGTCGTCTGTCTGTTTGTCTGTCTGTGTGTCCATCTCAAAACTTGTCCGGGCTACTCCTTAGAAACTACATGTACTGGTGCAATTTCATCCAAACTTTACAGGAATGATCATGATCAGTATCAAGTCTAGTTGCGTATATCTTCAGCATTTTCCGGTTCTATGATTTTTGTGTGAGTTATGGCCCTTTAATGATTTTTTATTTTAAAGATTGTCCGGACTACTTCTCTTATACCACCAATGCAATTTCAATGAAACTTTACAGGATTGATAAGTAGCTCAAATATTTGCGCATATTACATGGATTTTCTGGTTGAATGATTTTTGGCAGAGTTATGGCCCTTGAATAAAAAACCTATTTTGCCCTGTTAATGATTTTTATGTCTCCTGGTACACAGTAGCTGCAACATGCAATTGGCTATCATGAGGCGACACGTGATCATTGATCGCTCTTGTTTGATTTTCATGTTAAACAAATGTTGTTTTTTAAACATTGTATATTTACAAATGCATTTTGATATATTATAATGCAATATAATTTTTGGTAGCAATACTTAGCCTTAAACTCTGTGATCATTTGAAAACAAGTTACCAAAATATACAAGGGAAAGAACTTTAGACCATAATGATTACCTTTATTCGCTTACCAAGACAAGTTATTTCCCTTATATGGTAATTTTTTTAGAGATATTCATGTTAAAACAAACTGATAAATCAATAGAAATGTTTTTGAAAGTATTAATATTTTGGTAGCCATAGAAAAGTAACTAAATATAGGTTTATTTATCATCAGAGCGTAATTGAACATGTGCAAAATGTCAACAGTATACACATGCAGGTAAATTATTCATATAGATGTATTATATATAGATATACTTATGTTGTTACTTATATACATGTAACAATATATTTTGCAGGGTGTTTAAGAATGCATGCTTCATTTGTATCATATATTATATTTGGTATGCATGGGTTGAGATTCTATATATGACATAAACTCTACTTATTTGAATGTATTGCAAGGGAAGACAGAGCATATATTTATAGAATTACCACACTGCCTAAAGTGCATGCTAACTAACAGAGGTACTAAGGGATATGACTAAGTAAAGATGGCTTGAATGTATATCAAGTCATATTTAAATGATATATACTGCTTATAGCAAAATTATCAGCTAATTGTTTTCCATTCTGTCTCAATGCTTGACATAATTATGCAGCTTTATTAAAAGTGTATAAAGCAATTTATCAGCTTTTTGGAAATGAATTATTATAAACTACCTGTTTGTAAGAAATATGTTTGTATACACAGTACGGTATTTCCATCAGAGTGAATTTAATTTAAAATAGTAGTCGCTTAACTGTATATTTCTACTTGCAAAAGCAGCAATTCGCATTTCTTCTGGACCACTGTTAACATATAATATTCATGTGTGCTAATTGTCTCAGTCATTTTGGGTGACAATTTCTTTAAGACTTGACCATAAGGTTATGGGAAGAAAACAATTTGACTGTTTATAAGTTGTTGTTGTTGTTTTTTTTTTTGTGTGAAAATATTGAATTAGATATAGATTTATACCCCTTAAACTATCTGTTGCTGTCAGGACTTTTTCAGTCCATATCCGCGCTGGCAGTATGTTATAATTTTTGCTATTTGTTAAAAGATATTGCATGTATGCAAGGAGTGAAAATATATTACTAAACTAAATCTGTTCTTAGGTTATAGATGTAAATGAGCGATTAAGAAAGAAGGTACAGTTATACTGTTTTATCCTCAAGGGTCATGTGTCAGTGTTGTTTGAACAATATTGTCATCACTATAACAACAGCTAGCTTTATAAATAGCTTTCTGGCTTAAACAAAGATTTTAAATGAGCATCATAATGAATTGAAATGTTAAATGCACTTTCTGAAAAAAAAGTTTAAAAATTAAACTGTTGTCAACTTTCTTGTTGTACCCATGTTGTCACAAATGCTTTCAGGTATACATGTTTGTATTATGCACAACATTTTACTATAAGCAATGTTGTAAGGTAATATTTGTAATGAAAGGTTCCAGTGTTTTAGAATATTTTTTTTTCATTTTCCAGTCATTGTTTCTATCAAAACCAACCTCTTTACAAAGTTCTGTGCTAATATTGTTTGTAGCAGAAATATTTACTTTGGCCATCTTTAAGATACAAAGTTCATTATCTTTTTGTGCCATTACTTTAGGGGGGGGGGGCATTTAGATTTACCCTTGTCCGTCTGTCCTTCCGACCGTCTGTCTGTTCTCTTTTGTGTCGCACATAGCTCAAAAAGTATTTGACCTAGAGTCATGAAATTTTACAGAAATGTTGATGAGTATGACTGTGTAGTTGTGCACCTGGGTATTTTGTGTGGATATATTTAGTATTTTTAGAGTTATCGCCCTTGACTTAGTAAAATTTTTGCAATTTTCAACTTGTGTCGCATGTAACTCAAAAAGTATTTGACCTAGAGTCATGAAACTTTACAGGAATGTTGCTCAGCATGTGTAGTTGTGCACCTGGGGTTTTGCTTATGGATTTATATTGTTTTATTAGAGTTATTGCCCTTCACTTAGTAAATATTGGAATTTTCAACTTGTGTCGCATGTAGCTCAAAAAGTATTTAACCTAGAGTCATGAAACTTTACAGGAATGTTGATCAGCATGTGTAGTTGTGCACCTGGGGTTTTGCTTGTGGATTTATTCTGTTTTGTCAGATTTATTGCCCTTGACTTAGTGAAAACTGTTCCATTATGTTGTGTTATTTGTTCCTCGAGTGCTTGAGTTAGAATCAACAAACTTTACAGGAATAATGATCAACATCACTGTGAAGCTATGCACCTGGGGTTTTGTATGTGGATTTTTTTTCAGTTTTGTTAGAGTTATTGCCCTTGACTTAGTATAAATTTGCAATTTTCAACTTGTTCATGCATAACTCAAAAAATATTTGACCTATAGTTTTCAAGAATTTTGGTCAGCCATGTACTTATGCACCTTGGGGTTTGCTTGTGGATTTATTCAGTATTTTTAAAGTTCTTGCCAAATTACTTAGTAAAAGATTTTTAGTTTTCAACTTGTGGCACATGTAGCCCAAAAAATATTTGACCTACAGTCATAAGATTGACAAAACATTGGAGTGTGGGGGCACCCATGTCCTTTGGACACATTTCTAGTTATTATTATTTTTATACCTTTTGAAAGGCTATGCCAATTTCATTGCATCAAGAAGTAAATATAAATATTTGTAGGAGAAGGATAATGTAGCTGCACTACTAGCAAAATGTATGAACCTTATCTGTTTGTCATCATCTATTGAGTAATGACCAATTATAAAAGCTTGCATGCCTTTGCATGCCCATTTGTTTAAACCTTTATCCTGAAGACTCAAAAGTGATAAGCATTTGCCATCAGTATAGAGCCAGGCCAGCCTGAATGTCTGTGTTGTCTCAATATACACTACAAACTTCAAATTGTTTTCTTGATAATGGAAAGTTCAAAAAATGGAAACACAGGACAAATCCATAAAACAATATCAGGAAGGTAAAGATTGACAACTCTTAGGATTGCTTGAGAAGAGATTTTGTGATGCATGCTGTTTAAACTTTCTCGTTAGCTGTTTGTATTAATTTTGTCAATGATATTTACTTTATGCCTGTATCAGTTTGTATAATGCAAATGATATCAATTCAAAATATATGTATGGCAGTGCAGTACCATATGTAGTTGCAAAAGCAGCATGGGTTTTGGGATAATGTAATCAGTAATGAAGATATTAATTTATGTAATTTGGTTATGGTTTTTGTCATACTTTGGTGAAGAAAACTTTAGTATATTAACATTTAAATTGTGGAGAAGTGATAATTAGATACACAAATGTTTATAATTAATTAAAATAATAATAATATAAATAATATAAATAATAATTAATAAATCAAAGAGAAAAATATAATTGTACATAAGGCCTTCTTATATCTAAAATGTGTTTTTTGGATGGAATGAAAAGTGATTTCAATGATAAAGCCCAGTCCACAATGAATTTCTGACAGGGTTTCACAACTCATTATCTTGAATATTTGCTTGTAGAATTATGTCTTAAAATAAAGTTACATATGGGTAAACAAATAACATAAAACATACATAACTTATTATAGAAAAAATGAGAATTCTCTGTTGTTGAAATTGATATAATGCCAGTCCTGAAATGCATGTTATTATAGTTAGCTGAGACAATCCGTTTATCCTAGTGTTTTCTGTAAGATTTTTTTACTGTCCAGCATCCCTAAAATTCTTAAAAAAATGAAAAATTCAAAATTCAAAGGGAATATGTTAATATTCTACTTAGCTTTGAGTTTGTTCTCAGTTTCTTGGTAGTGTTAATCAGTATGTGGGTAATGCTTTTTATTTATAAAGAATCTTTAAGTAAATATTATAAGTATTAACATTACAGTAATATTGTATTTCAGCTTTATCATGGTACTACAATATGCTCTGTATATATTGTGCATTGTAATAGTGTTGTCAGCATAACAGAAACTTGTTTGTCATGAACTGGTAACTTATATACAGTTAAACCTTATTCACTCACTGTCTTGTCCCTGTAAAATCCCTGTATGGTATATATTGTGCTACCTAGGATGGATCTTACTCTTGAAACTGATCGATAGTCCCTTTGGCAGAAATAAATAAAGTGAAAATCGCAGCCTTCTTGGGTTGAATACAACCCCCCCCCCCCCCCCCCCCCAAAAAAAAAAAAAAATGAAAAGAAAAAGAAATGCAAATTAACTTACATTCAATAAGAATACATTGGTTTTAAATGTTTAAGGCAATTTAAGTTAATTGATACAAAGTTAAAGATAATTATCTGCTCAATATGAAATTGTGAGAGTGTTATTTCTTTCATTTTATTCTTACATCAGTGGTAAATATACCAATAAAAAAGGATGTATTTAACCAGGATATATAATCCCAATACCAATGATAAAGTATGGCTTTATTATACATGATAAATACTTTATTTTTATTTTTTTTGAACCACCAACCAATTTAAATGAGCACTTTAGAGTTCATGCAATCAAAGTTCAACTGTATAATTTTTCTTTGATTAAGCATCCTTTTATTCTTGTGGAAATGTAAGTTGTGAGATTTTTTACTGACTTCAGGTAAAGTCTAAAAATATACAAAAGGAACAACAAAAGCAACAAAGGTTTAGAATATATAATTGATCATGATGACTAGCATTTATTATTATGCTTTAGACTTTTATTGCAGATATTACAAAATATCTCAAGTCATAAACTAGTTTCATATATCGGTTCTTTCTTATGTTTTTGTCCCATTTACAGGAGATTAAAGGTGTTATAAGATGGTCACGTGTTATAATATTGTCATATTTATATTTGTAGACCGTTATTATGTAACTTGCAGGAAGTGCTATATTAACTTGTACATATGTGTATACATAAATTACATAATTGTATACATAAGATATACATCATTGTATACATTATTGACAGAGTTAAGACCCTTGAATAAAAGAGTTTCTTTTGTGTGTTGCTAGCTGCACAGAAGCTTGTCTTGACTTCTTCTCAGAATTTAATAACTTATGCAATTTTAACAAAACTTTATAGGAATGACCAATACTTAGTCTAGGTGTGCATATCATTGGCTTTTTATGGTTCAATGATTTTTAACAGAGTTATGGCTTTTTGATAATTTTTATTTTTAGAATTTGTCTGGACTACTCCTCTAATACCAATAATACAGTTTTAATGAAACTTTCAAGGATTGTTTAATAGGGTATATTACACGAATGGTTTTTGGCTGAGTTATGGCCCTTGAAAAAAGCATGTTTTGCCATGTTACTGATTTTTGTGTCTCCTGCTACACAGGCTATCTGATCTCCCTTGTGTTATAGTAGTATATGAATTTACATCCTGATTCATAACAGGAAAATTATGTCATCCTAAGCATGCAATTCATTTATGAAAGGCACCTGTGAATGTCATATTTTTATGCATACAACAAATGTCTTATATGGGGATGTAACACAGGTTTTTCTAACACCAGTGTATACAATAGAAATTCTTGTCTGATTTGGTGAAAGGCTGACATGGTAAAACTTAACTCTCATAGAATTTATCCATTTTTTACTGTAAAGGGTATAATGCCTGTAAGTCTGTAAGTGGCATAATCTGTTGATAAGAGACAGTTGTTCCTTATGTTAGATAATGGTGTTTAAAATAGTAAAGAACTGCTTTAAATAACTAAGAAATATAAAGTTTGAGAACATTTTTATTATATTAATATACAGCAGTAACATGCATTAAGTAAGATAGACACTCTTTTTAAAAAAAAATCAGAAATAGAAAGAGTATGAAAACATGATTGTTCAGTTTTTGAGATTTTTATAGTATTATATATGATATATCTTAACAATGTATGTTTACAGGCGGCTGGTAGTAGAAAGCAAATCAAATATCCCTCCACATCTTCCAGAGAGTTTATGAAAGGTAATTATATCAATATGATTGTACAATACCAGACAACCCAGTACATGTTTGCACAACACCACATTAAACTACTCTGTACATGTTTGCATAGTACCACATTAAACTACTCTGTACATGTTTGCATAATACCACATTAAACTACTCTGTACATGTTTGCACAATACCACATTAAACTACTCTGTACATGTTTGCACAATACCACATTAAACTACTCTGTACATGTTTGCACAGTACCACATTAAACTACTCTGTACATGTTTGCACAATACCACATTAAACTACTCTGTACATGTTTGCATAGTACCACATTAAACTACTCTGTACATGTTTGCACAGTACCACATTAAACTACTCTGTAACATGTTTGCACAGTACCACATTAAACTACTCTGTACATGTTTTCACAGTACCACATTAAACTACTCTGTACATGTTTGCACACATTAAACTACTCTGTACATGTTTGCACAGTACCACATTAAACTACTCTGTACATGTTTGCATAGTACCACATTAAACTACTCTGTACATGTTTGCACAGTACCACATTAAACTACTCTGTACATGTTTGCACAGTACCACATTAAACTACTCTGTACATGTTTGCACAGTACCACATTAAACTACTCTGTACATGTTTGCATAGTACCACATTAAACTACTCTGTACATGTTTGCACAATACCACATTAAACTACTCTGTACATGTTTGCACAGTACCACATTAAACTACTCTGTAACATGTTTGCATAGTACCACATTAAACTACTCTGTACATGTTTGCACAGTACCACATTAAACTACTCTGTACATGTTTGCACAGTACCACATTAAACTACTCTGTACATGTTTGCACAGTACCACATTAAACTACTCTGTACATGCTTGCATAGTACCACATTAAACTACTCTGTACATGTTTGCACAGTACCACATTAAACTACTCTGTACATGTTTGCACAACACCACATTAAACTACTCTGTACATGTTTGCACAGTACCACATTAAACTACTCTGTACATGTTTGCACAGTACCACATTAAACTACTCTTTACATGTTTGCACAATACCACATTAAACTACTCTGTACATGTTTGCACAATACCACATTAAATACTCTGTACATTTTTGCACAAACCACATTAAAAAATACTCTGTAATGTTTGCAAGACCCCATTAAACATCTTTAATGTTTCCAAATACCACTTAAAAATTTTTCTCCCCTTAAAAAACCATAAAAAATTTTAAAAAAACCCGTAATAAAGTGTGTCAGACTACCCCGAACATGTGACATCAGGCTACCGAATACATGTGATATCAGACTACCCTGTACATGTGGGCACATTGCAACAGATAAAAACTATACATGTTTGCACATTAAACATCAAACTACCCTGTACATATGTGCACAATACCCCATCAGTACCTTGTACATTTGTGTGCAGTACCACATCAGGGTCTACCTTGTACATAATTATGTGCACAGAACATAAAACTACCCTGCACATATATGCAAAATACAACATAAGACTACCTTGTATATACATTGTATGTGCACACTACAACTTAAGACTACCTTTGTACATCAGACTTCCCTGTACTTATATGCAAAGTACAAAATAAGACTATGCTGCACAAATGTGCAAAGTACAACATAAGACTATGATGCACACATGTGCACAGTACAATAACATAAGACTACATGGCACATATGTGCACACTACAACATAAGCCTACCTTTGTACATAATTTATGTGCACAGTACAATATAAGACTACACTGTACATAACTATGTGCATGGTACAACATAAGACTAACATGCTTAACCTGTGTTGCCCACTGCAACTTCAGACTTGTCACCCTGTACATATGTGCATTCTGACTAGACTTGAATCTTCATATTAACATCAAATAAACTAATAATTAACTGTTTCATTATCAAAGCAGTGCTTGACAAATACATAAATTTAGGGTAAGTGAATGGTTAAAGATGGGTCTGCCAGTGCAAATTAAAGAAAATAGTCACCCAATCAGATTGTGTATTTTAATATGATCAATATTTTTGTTTGTTTGCAATGAGTAGAACAGAACAGAACAGTATATCCAATAAAGTCTTTGACAATTGAGGGCAGATCTGCAATAGCATTATAAAAGTTAGATTGATAAAACTTTCTATGACTTTTACACTTAGGGAAAGGCTATTAAAATGTTAAAATTTAAAGATGTTACAGTTTAGATAAATTATAAGTTTTATAGCTTAGTCCACCTAAACATTGTAAAATAATTTTAGCATGGATATGAATGTCAATATCAAAATTTTATATTAGGTTTTTAGAAAATTTAAGATAAGATAAAACTGGGCTTATGTTTTCAGATCGAGTATTTGTTGACCTGTGTATTCTTCAAGCAAGAGATCTTATTCCGAAGGATAGAAATGGTATGTTTACTTGTATAATTATATGTATTTCATATTCACAGATACAACCCCAATCTGTATTCCATGCAAGAGTATTCCAGAATGCTTCTACTGCTGTTGCTGTAGTTATATTACAACATATTTAAATACTGAAAGGTTTTGTTGCTTTGGTTAATTATATACATGTACTTGGAGAGATATGTTGCTATGTTTAGTTGCCTGGGCAGGGATTCAAACCCTGGACCTCTCACATCCTAAGCAAGTATGTTACCCCTGTTATTGAGAGTTATGCCATTACATTTGCATATACAACCTGTATAATTAACATACAGAGAGTTATGTTGTTACAGTTGAATATAATATATAATATGAATAGATATGATAACAAATATATTGTAAGGGAAACTTGACATGTGATTTTGGTTTAAAAAAAACCCTAGTCAGGAAATTCAAAAGATGGTATTTGGCAGGGAGAAAAACCTTATTTGGGTGGGGAAAAGGGAAAAAAAAAATTTACCCCAAAACTTTTTTTTTTTCAAAGGTTTTGGTAAATAAAAAATGAATTTTGGTAGGGGTTTTTTTTTAAAGTAAAAACTTGTATTAAAAAATTTTTCCCCCCAAAAATCAAGTCAATAAAATTGTGGGCAGAACAAGTTTTTTAAAATAAAGAACAAACTTTAAATAAAAATTTTTTTAGTTTTGAAAAATTTTTTAATTTTAAAATTTAAAGACGGTTTTGGGAAAAAGGGGGAAAAATGTGCAAGATTTTTAGGGATACAGAAAGATGCCCCAAATCCAGAAGCTACTCCTGGTTCTTGTTTAAGCACTCATACATGGGGTCTCCTCCGATGATTAGTAATTTTAGTTGGCCTGCCTGGGAATCGAACCCACTATGTCGAGAGTCTCATGCTCTAACCAGTTGAGCTATGCGGGCTGGTCCAGTAAGTCTTAAACTAGTGTCCTCTATGGCTGAACAGTTAAGATAACACTTGCTCCTCACCACTGTGTATTCTTTTTTTTCTTGTTTGGAAGCTGTCAAGCTCTCTTATTGAAGGTCATTGGTCTAGATAGGTGGCCACTAAATGACCTTTATAGTGCTAATATGAATTTATACATTATAAATTAAAAACTGAGTAGATTATGAATTTCTGTCATTTTTATATCACATTACAAGACCAATTTCATTTATAAAATAAAATATATATGGACATTTTAATTGCCTTGCTGTAAATAAACAAATTCCTTGTTTGTAAATGAAATTAGTTTTGTAACTTTAATATTAAACATCAAGACTTGTTGAATTAATATATTTGTTAAAAGTTTTAAATGTAGAAGGAAACTTAATTTTTTTTTTATATTTTACGAGTTTATTAAAAACACAGAATTCCTATCTTTATTACATATTGTTTAGCATTAAATGCTGTTAAACTTTATATCTTATTGTTCATGCTATTCAGTATTCAGAGAATATGATACCAGACAATTCATGTTGGTTGTCAATGTGCATTCACGTTTTCTGAAGTTGTTTTTCTGTTTTGTACAGGAGTTATATGACAAGGATATAATGTTCAATGATTTCCTAGGAAGAATAAACTTGTCACTTGACCAATTGAAGGAGATTTCTCTCAAGGTAAGGTTAAAAAACCTTAACTTGCTGTATTTCTGAAATAAACTTTCCAGCTTTCATTTTTCAGATTGTCTATTATCAGTTATAGGGTTATCAAGATGGAAATTTAAAGTTAATCAGCCATCAGTGTAGAGCCTGGTCAGATGACCTACATTCCTGACCAGTTACTGCTGAAGAAGCTTTCGAGTTTACTGAAAAATGATTTTTAAAATTTTGATAATTTGTTAGAAGCAGTGTCAGAACTAAGTGTAGAAATTAGATGAAAATAGCTTTTTGAATTATAAGATTTGTATATTTTAGGGAACATCAGACTGGTTTTCTTTACAACATGTGAAATCTGGTCAACTGCAGATAACATGTAAAGTGACAGCCCCAGAAACTGTGGTAAATATTACATATACTATTTCATTATTGTTGGGTAATTAGATAGGGGTGTCCATGGCCAAGTGGTTATGGTTGTTGACTTCAAATCACTTGCCTGTCACTGCTGTAGGTTTGAATCCCACCAGGGACTTTGGATTGTTTCATGTGAGGAAGCTATACAGATCACTTACAGAAGAATGCTGGTGGTTTTACTCAGGTGCCCTGTTGTGTTAGAAACAATGCTTGGAGAGGCACCTGAGGTCTTCTTTCACCAGTTAAACTGGAATGAAAAAAGGTTATGAGACAACTTTTTTCAAAAATTACTATACTAACAGATAGAGAAAATTACATGTATATTGTTTGAGAAAATGAAAATACTACGGAAATTGTGTAAATATTTACTACAAAAACAATGCATCATGTATTTTACCATTTCTTGAAAAAGTTGCTTACTTGCAGAGAAATTGGTAATTACTGGTTAGTTATCCAGGAAAGTTGGTAAGGTGGATTAACTGCCAAGATATTACCAAAAAATATGTTTAAATAGGTGTTAAAACCAGGTGTAGAATAGGTAATTAATGAGTGTCGTAAATCTGTTGTTATATGACAGTACAGGAAGGTTAATTTGTAACAAATTAAAGTGCAAAGTTAACACTTCGACTATTTTTATACAGTTATTTGCATTATCAATATTATTGCAATTCCACTGACAGGGAAGTTTCCAGCATTTCCCTTTCATCACAGAAGCTATAAATCAATTTCTAGATTAAACGCTCAGTTAATACAAAAAAAAAGATAGTGAAATTGAAATACACATAAACAGTTTTTGTCTCATTAGATCATAATATCCTCCAGGTGAAATATTGTGAACACTTGATGTCAGTAGTGTTGTTCATCAACACTTTCCTTTAAACAACATCTCCTAAAACACTACTTCATAGGTTTCTCTGGGTTGTTCAAAAGTTGTTCAAAAAATCCATTTTATGTTTAGTTTATACATATTTAATTAAGCTCAATTGCGAAGATGTTCTTGCAACTTAGGATTATATTCAATACTTTCTACTCCGCTTCCTGGAACCAACTGGTGTCATAAGAAGAAACATCGTCGTGACCCAAACAGGGATCAAACCTTTGCATGATTCCTAGTTTGAGAGGCAGACACCTAAACCACTAGGCCACTGCTTCCCTCATGCATCTGGGTTTTTTTTTTAATTTTTTGTACAAATACTCTATAAGTCAGATTAATATTCTAGCACTGAAATGATTGGTGGATGGATTTGTATGATAACTGTTCTAATGATTTTAATTCAATTTGGTTAAAAACAACATGACCTCTTATGGGGTATGATTTATTTTCCTTAGGTGTAGGGAAAAGTCATTTTGGAAATTACTTTTTGTTTGATTTTCCTTCTATAAGCTAACTTGATTTCGCTTCCTCACATGAACATATCAAATTGCAGGTAGAATTTTAAACCTAGAGCGGGGTAAGTGACAAGTGATTAGAGTTGACAACTTTGACCATGTTTACATTGATATCACTTAGTATCATGATTTCTAATTGTTGATATGAAGGGTTCCATAATCTGATATCAGTTATGCTACCTTTAACTTTGCTGATTTGACACGCCACTGTGATAGAATATTTTACTGTTTTTTTTACCAATTGATGTGATTTATTCCACTGGAATGATTTATTATGCACAAATTGTTTCAGTAGAGAGATAATTCATGTTTGTGATTTTGTGTAGTGAAACAAGTTAAAACTGGAATTTTCAATCTGTACATGATTTGGTATGTATACTTAAATGTGTTGATTTATATTCATGCCACTATTTTATATACAATTAGATATTATCCAAGTATGTATATTTTGTACTTATATAATGTTACTATTTTGTTGCCAGGTCCAGTATGTCATAATCAACTATGTAGCTGTATGAAGATTTTTTTTTTTCAACAAATAAAAAGTTGTCATAAAATGTTGTATTTTACTGAAGATCATGATAAAATAAACATATCTTGGTAGTCTAATTATGACTTAACAGAAAAATTATCCCATTACCGATTGGATTTGCCCAGCCAGCTTTGATTTTGGAACAGTTAAATATGTCTTTCAACATACAATAACTTGTACAGTTCACCATAGTGAACCAGGGATTATTGTGATAACATTGAAATTAATGTGAGCATGTTAAGTCTAAGCAGGATTTTTTACATTAGTAACATATTTATAATTAACTGTTTTACTTTAGAAGGTAGGGATGGGTAGAGAGTTGCAGATACTTCTTGTAGACTTACATATTACTATATAAATAAAAGTATATAACTTGTTACAGAAGAAAGGTGGGAAATCTGTGAGTTCTAGAAAAGAGAGCAACAAAGACCAGTCAAAGTCATCTCCTGTAAGAGCTACATCAATAGAAAGTGATGTTTTTATTACACCAGCAAATACTCAGGTTAGTTTATGCCATTCAACATTCATAAAATGAAACACCTATGCTACAAAATAGTTGTATTGTTGTTGGTATCTATACTATTTGATAAGTATACAAAAGTCATGTTATGTCTACTGATAGAAATGATTGTTAGTAGAAAAAAACTTAATTCAATATTTTTGCAAAATTTCTCAGTTGTAATTGATCTTGGCCATGCAGTGTCTTGAGGGAAGGATATTCTGATCTGAATCGCAAACATATGTCAGATATTTTTTCTTGCATATTCTGCCATATTATTTCATATTTAAAATGGTTTACCTCAATAAGATATTTGTTCATAGAACTTAATGTCATTTCATCCATAACTATTTCCTTACAATAGCGTATGAATTTACAACTTTAATAAGTGAAATGACATCATCCGTAGCGTATAGTTCCCTTCTAAAATGACTTCATTTTACGCGTTTCATTCATAAAATGCACTAAAATGACATTGTTGTATGTCACTCGACTCATCTGGCACCCCCATGCCAGATGAAATTTCCAGCATTGGTAAAACTAACAGAAACACCAGTCTGCTATGCAAGAAATAAAAATAAAAGCAATTCTGAGGCATAATGGGCTTTTAAAAACTGCAACTTGAGAACCATTGACCTTAAAATAGGTTAGAGCAACCAGAAAAATCAGGACAATACATGACATGACTTGATACAGTATTTAAAAATCTACTGTATGTATTGGTATAACCAATTTCCTTTCACAGGTTTTAAAAGGTGCTCCACCACTCAAAACTGTAAACAACAACAACAACAGTCAGCCCACGAACCGGAACCATTTAGATGTGAACTACAACAATCCGGAAACATCTACCCCAATCAAAGACAGTCCTTTACCATCATCAGCACTGAATGAAAGCCCTGTTCCAGTTACTCTACGTAGGTCAGCATCCGATGTTAATGTAGGACGTAGACCCTCTCAAACCAACTCGTAAGTTTGTTTTGTTTGTAGCACCGGAGCTAAAAAAAGAAAAACCTTGTTAACACTCAAGCGGTCACATTTTTGCCTCAATCATCATCAAACTTGGTCAGGATGCTTGTCGAGGTAATAGCTTGGATGGGTTCGATTATGGGTCATCTCAGACACCGGAGCTAAAAATAGAAAAACTTTGTTAACACTCTAGCGGTCACATTTTTGCCTCAATCATCATCAAACTTGGTCAGGATGGTTGTCTAGGTGATAGCTCGGATGAGGTTGAACATGTGTCATCTCGGATGAAAAACTAGGTCACAGGAGCTAAAAACAGAAAAACCTCGTTAACACTCTAGCAGTCACATTTTTGACTCAAGTGTCATCAAACTTGGTCAGGATGCTTGTCTAGGTAATTGCACGGATGAATTCGAACATGGTTCATCTCGGATGAAAAACTAGGTCACAGGAGCTAAAAATAAAAAAATCTTGTTAACCCTCTAGTGGTCACATTTTTGACTCAATTGACATCAAACTTTGTCAGGATGCTTGTCTAGGTAATTGCTCGGATAAGTTCGAACATGGGTCATCTCAGATGAAAAACTAGGTCACAGGAGCTAAAAATAGAAAAATCTTGTTAACACTCTAGTGGCTACTGTTTTGATCCAAATATCCTGTAAATTTGTCTGAAAGTTTGTTTTGATGATTTCTAGGTCAAGTTTGAACATGGGTCACCTGGGGTTAAAAACTAGGTCACACTGCTCAAATATGGAAAAACCTTGTTAACATTCTAGTGGTCACATTTTTGACGCGATAATCATCAAACTTGGTCAGGATGCTTGCCTAAGTCATTGCTGGGATGAGTTCGAACATGGGTCATCTCTGATGAAAAACTAGGTCACCTGAGCTAAAAATAGAAAAATCTTGTTCACACTCTAGTGGCTACTGTTTTGATCCAAGTATCTGGAAATTGGTCTGAAAGTTTGTTTCGATGATTTCTAGGTCAAGTTCGAATATGGGTCACCTGGGTAAAAAATTAGGTCACACTGCTCAAATATGGATAATCTTTGTTAACACTCTAGTGGTCACATTTTTGACTCACCTGTCATGAGACTTGGTCAGAATGCTTGTCTAGGTAATTGTTCGGATGAGCTTGATGGGTCAGGTGAGCGATCAAGGGCCGGCCATCATGGCCCTCTTGTTTATAATACAGAGTTATTACAGGGTTTTTTTTTTAAGTTATTATAGAGAAATTTGATGATTCATTTGAAATGTGATAATATCATAAATAAAAATTAAAATCCTTGTTGAAGGTCTAGATTAAGTTAAACATAGACACTAATACAAGTTTAGTTTGAAAATCTTTTCTTTGATCTCATTTCATTAAGGCAGATTGAGTCTGTTTTTCTAACTATAGCTTTCAATATTGATGATGTTTTACATGAAATAAATGAAAATTATGCCTGAATCTAAATTGATTATTTCAAAGTTATTCTACATTTACTAGTATATGAAAGTGAATTTATCATTGTAGAATATTTCATTGGTTATAAATGGAAAGAATGAATAATTTAAACATCTCATATTTGCCTTGCTGATATAGTAGAAGGGGATTGACTTGCTATGTTTAAAGGAAGTTATTGACTTAAAGTTTTTTTGTTTTTTTTTTATACTGGAATAATGTTTAGTAGACATGAAGGAATTTAACAATTAATTGTGATGTTTTTTTCAGAATGAATTCCTTTGCAGCATTCCAAGACTTTGACACAACAGGTGAGAATATTTTGTCAGTTTTAAATTATTTATTTTGCTAGGTATTACTGTACTGCCTGATGTAATAATTGATAGCATGTGCAAGTTAGTTAATGACAAGCATTCTTATTTCTTATAATGGGAGAGAAAAACAGTTGTAAATTTGCATGCTGTTTTGTTTATACAAATAGATTTCATGAATTATGGTTCTACTCAAATGCACGTTCATGCCTGAATTTATAATGAATAAAGGAAAAAAAAAAAATTATATAAATTATTACGTTTTGCACTGATGACGGCATATAGCCGAAACGTTTGCAATAGATAATTACTGAATGTTTGTGTTTGTGTGGCTTGTCTGTTTATTTTAATGAATAAAGAGGAATTTGAAGTAGAATATTATGTGATGTACAGTACCATTCACTTTAAATACTTTTGCATTTTTTTTTCGTTCTTGCAATTTGTTACAACAGAAAACGATCCAACAGAAAAGGAAGATAAAACAAATGAAGTCAATGGTAACTTGAAGATAATATCTGTGTATGGTGATAGGGTCTATATTATGCTTCAAATGTAAAACCCTGAAACTGATGAATTTGTGTAATGGATAAGCCCTATCATGAATCTGGAACAGTCCATTAATTTAATTTAAAGTACCACATTGTTTTCAATGAACATTTTGTAGGAAAAAAACTTACCTCTTCATAGATTTATAATCCATAATGAAGAACAATCCAACAAATCCAAATATTTTTATCTAAAAAATAACAATTAATGACAGTCCATCCATGTAAAATCATTATAAAAATATATAAATTAATATTAATATAATCCTGTATTATATATATTATATTAGATCATAATTATGAATAATGATTTCTATAATTAAATTGTATCTTTAATATACATATTTAAAAGCATATTTTTATAGTTCTAATTAGTGCCCCCTTTTAAAAAAATGTAAGCCCCCTAAGGCTTTAAATGGAGACCATATGGTACATTAATTGTATAATGGATAACAATATTAAAATATAGATAATAAGCTACCAAAAGTATAGAGCCTGTTGTAGACTGCTGCCTGGCTTTGCTCTTCACTAGTGGCTAGGGTCAGTACTTAATGATTCCAGCAAGTGAAACAGTCACTTTATAAATACATCATGTTTATTTGTTATTTAGACCAAAGTATTCCCAACATATAACAGTCTTTGTGAAAATGTTCCTTTTTTTAAATGAACACCTTATTATACTAAATAAATTTTTGATATGGACAAAGTCTCACATGCTCTGTTGTTTATTTGGCTCTTCATTGTTAGTTTTAAAGGATTTCAATATCAGACTACTGAATTTAACCGTTCACTTGCTGAAACAGAATGTCATTAACCTTTGTCACCAGTAAAGAGCCAGGCTGTGTAGTGTGACCAGTCTGTTTACTATTGGAAGACTAACAGGGAATTTTTATCTTGATATCCCCTATATATAAAAAGGACAGTTCCTGGAATAGTCCATGTAAGAAATTCAGCAGGTTATGGGTTTATAAGTATACAACAGCAAATGAATCTTGTATGATTTTAGCTTTGGCAAGTTTTTATGCTAGCATAAGGGTTCAACCCAGAAATTATGCACAGAAGGGCACATGAAGTCCACCTCAACCAGTAAAGCTGGAAAGTCACTATTACAGTGTGACTTAAAATCCAACAAAACAAAACATATTATATATAGCAGATCATGTAGAGTTCTTGTATATCAGAACTTATCTTAGCCAACAATTATTTTAAACAGCTATAAAAAATTATATAACTGCATGTATTTATGATTAGAATCTTATTCCCCATCGTAATTTGGGAATATTTTTACTGTAAAAGGTGGGGGAAATATGATATGAGGTCTTTTTAAAAGAACTCCACTGAGGTTCCAAAGTTGAAATTCTTGCATAGATCATGGGGCATTCAAAATGGAAATACACTCAGAATGAAATTGAAAATTTAAAGTTTTTTTTTTTTTTCATTTTGCTCAATTAAAAAAGGATTATTTTGGAAAAATGGAAACCCACAAATTATTGATCAAGGTTCATGGAAAAAAATCTTTAATTTTTGTTATGAGCAATTAGGCCATAAACCAATATTTCTTTCTTTTCTTCCCACACATAATTGTATGCTTTAAAGGAACATGCCTCCAGATAAATGCTAATGTTCATGAAAATTTTAAAAATGTATTTAAAAGTAAAATATTATCAAGGGAACAAAGAAAAACATTTACAGGTTGCAATTAGCACTTGCAAACCACATAAATTACCAAAAAAGAGGTCGTAATAAGCAAAAATAGCTCTTACTGCTTAAGGAACACAGATGAAATATGGTAATAACTACTGCAAAATCAGTCCTTAATTGCATTTAATGTGTACATTATGATTTTAATCTAAAATGTTTTTCCTATTTTAAAATCTTAGTACATTTTTCTCAAGTTAAATTTTCTTGAGATATTTTGGCTCATCTGGAGGCATGCAGCTTTAACTAACATATATATTGATGAAGAAAAAAAAAACTATTTATATTACACATTTGTATACATGTATATTGTCATTACCCTACATAAAGTATTATATAATAATTTAACAACAAGTTTCTCTCTCTCTCTATATATATATATATATAATACAGCAAATCACAGGTGGCAGTATCAGTGTTTTTCCACTATCAAAATAATAGTTCTATAACTATAATTTTGATAGTGGAAAATTTTTTTTTTATATATAATTTCATCGGTGGTTTTGTATTTGGTACCTTATAGTAAGCCTTAGAGTGTTGAATTTTTTTTTTCAGGGTTGTAGTAGGGGTCCAGGGGCAGATTGGGGTGGGGTGTCCAAACACTGATACTGCCACCTGTGCAGCAAATTAGATGATAAATATACTTGTGTACAGTTGTATAATTAAATTAGATGTCACAAAAGCAGTTTGACATGTGCTTTTGTGCCTTAGTATGTCCATTCTTATTATGTTTGTCCGCGGACATGGGATGGAATTTTAAATAAACTTGGCTCAAATATTGAAACAATGTGTCATGAATAGATTCATGTTTTTAGGGAATGTGTCATGATAAGATACATGTGTTTAGTGTCCATTAAGCATTATTAGTAAGATTGTTACAGCTGTATCTGTCATAAATGTTCATAATGCTGTGATGATGTGTAATTTTAAATTTATTCTTTCAACAAATAAGCATCATGAAATAAGCTTTTAGTTAATTTTACATAGTTTTAAACTTATGAAAAATGCACTTAGATAAATAAATGTAACCTAGGCTACATTGGTTCAAATTTGGTTCCTGTCCACCTGTCCAATCCCTACAGTTAAATCATAAAAAGATTTTTTGTAAAAATGTACAATTCCTATTTAAATGTTTGTTAGAATATCTAGATATTGCATGATATTACATATATAAAAAGTCTGAATATATCAGAAGAGAAAGTAAAATAATAGTATATCAGAAAAGAAAATATATGAGAAGAAGAACAAAATAAATGTTTGAAAAAAAAGATGTTGAAAAAAGGATTCAAACATGTACATGATGCACACTGAACCATTACAGTTTTAAAAATATATATTCATTGTACATGTACTCAGGCAAAGGAGGAAATGGAGTATATATTTGTATGTTTATAATTTGCTAAATATAATTTTGTATTATAAATATTATTTAACAATTTTATGTCTTGCTCTAGTTTGTTTTTTTTGCCAAAAACTATACTGAATAGTGCTGAGTAATATATTGGAGGTGTTTTTATTCTAAAAGGTTGTAAATTATTTTACAGCAAGGCATGTTAAGCTTCAAGTGTCTGAGAAAAAAGGTTTGCACTAATGAAGAATGTTGTAACTTGTTGTTATATAATTTTATTGTATGCAGGAGTGATATTTGTATGTTTAAAAGTTATAAGATAAAGTTGTTTGAGGAAAATGGTACTTGAAGTGTTGTTTTCAATTTGTGTTTTAGATTGATGGCACTTGTCACTGTCAAGCACATATTTGAGAAAAAAAATCATGTGTTTATCTCTTAGAGAGAAAAAAAGGATAATTCTTTTTATACATTCCAAAAATTGCATTTTAAACAATTTATCTCTTACTATATTACACCCTTGGATCTTTTTGAAAATGGAAATTTATCCTTACCCAATCACTCAATTCATTTACATGATTTATAACAATTTTCCATAAAAACAGTCTTGCAGCATTATATTTTCCTTTAAAATTTTTTACACGTCTTGTAAGAGGGACTCTTAGCAAAAAGTGCCGTTTTTGAGATGAAATATAAAGACTTAAAGTTTTGCTATAGCTTATTGGTAAGAGTAACTCCGAATATATTTCCATTGCTTGTATGTATCACGCTAAGATTTTCAGTATTGAACAGGTTTGTTGTGACCATTTTAAAACTTGCTGAATTTGTTTAATGGACTCTCCCTGCTTTGAATTTGGAACAGTCCATTTAAATTTTAAGAGATTTAATTACCAACAGTGTAGAGGGCGTGGCTCTATTCTGGCTGCAAAGACTAATCACTTTGGGTTCCAGCAGGTTAAGGGTTGATGTGACTGAGTGGGGTTATTTCTTAATGACAAAAATAAGAACATTGAACAATGATAAAGTAAAATGTATAATGTAACAGACACCAAAACACCCTCCAGCTTGCCAAATAACATGGGAAATATGCATATTTTCAATATTATGTAGACTTTCAAATATTTATCAGTATTGGTTTATAAATATTTCAGTATCACAGTTGGATATGAAAAACTTCTATACAGTCAGTGATAGTTCAGAAAATATTGATGTACTTTCACAAAACAATAGTGCTGACTCATCATCTTCAGGTGTTGTAATGTATAGTTCATGCAAATGCAATATATAGTTCAAATAAGTTGTAATGTATAGTTCAAACAAGTTGTAATGTATAGTTCAAACAAGTTGTAATGTATAGTTCAAACAAGTTGTAATGTACAATGTATAGTTCAAACAAGTTGTCTTTTAATGTTACACCTGTTATTTGTTTATGTTTCTGTTATAACAATGGCTGTTATTTTCTTAATTACATTTTATTTATGGTTAATATTCAATCAGATTAAAATCAATTCCTAATTAAATTATGCTACACATTAGGACCTAACATTCACCCATAGGCAGTCACTTTCTGGTGGTCTTTGAAACAACCAATGATTGTTGAGGTTTCATAATTTTGAAAGCTATACTGTTTCTAATTTTAACACTTGGAAAACCAATACTTATGCCTAGGTCACAAATAAAACGGGCGCCGTCCGATTAAACGATTTTTATAAAATCGGCGGATTTTTTGATGTCGTGGACGCTGGGCGATTTTAAATCTGATACCTTGCGTTGTCATGAATGAAACAGTCATCGGGCGATTTTTTGCCGAATGGATTTTACAGAAAGAATTGAACGGATCGGGCGGTCGCCGCCCGATGTCCGTACGGCGCCTGTGCGATTTAAAAGCCACCCTAGTAAGAATATCTCGAAACAGCCCGGACGCATTTTAAATCGGACGGTGTTTTAGATGGCCCGATCAAAAAAACATCGCACGGTCGCCGCCCGACGACCAAGCGATGTCCGCTCCATGATGTTTTATACTCAGTGACCCCAAAAATTATCGTCCGGCCGCCGTTAGCTTTTAAGTAGTACTTAAAACTCGAAGGCGCCTGGCCGATGAGCAAAATTTTTAGCTGCTGCCGTCCGATAGTCACTGCCGCCAGACGGACGCTGGCCGATATGCGATTTTTTGGAGAAACAGACGCCGCCCGGCGGCATTTTCTTATTTGTGACCTAGGCTTTAGTAGGTAATTTTCATGAATTTAAGAGAACAAACACGGTGTTTTCCAATATACTCTGCAGGTAAACTGGCAAAACAATCTTGCCCATTAAAAATTGAGTCTATAATTTCATGTTTACTTGTTTCAAATTACTCCAAACAATTTTTTTCTTCTAACAAAAATCAACAATTTGTTTTACTTCCACAGACAACAATATTTTGATACTTCTTCTAATGCCTACTGTATATGTAAAAACCAGTTTGATTGCTTGGCTTAATAAAAAACTTTCTCAGGAAATCTGAATTTGTCATCAGATCTACATGTAAGAAATAAGTAGATCTAAACTTAAGTCAGCTTGACTGTTTGATATACATGTACTGGTTGTAACAAGTTTTCACAAAGTATTCCATAATTTCTCCTACATTGATTTATTAGAGGCAAGTTTTATGCATGGCAAGTGCAATAGCATGTGTTATGATTTGTTGTATGGAAATGTTTCCCTGTTCTCACATTACCTGTCACAATTGTTCATGTTTGATATAGTAGTAATTATACACTTCCATGACAAACAATTGTACTTTTTTCTCTCTTTGCCTCACCTGTTGTAGTGCATCTCTTATATAACAAATTTAAATTTCATGAAAGCAAATAGATTTATATATATATAAATATATTAGTGGTGGACGTTGCATCAAGAGACGTTTTTGCAGAAATTTTAGAGCAAAAGTGTTAAAAGCAAAAGCTATTAAATTGTAAAAAGTTAAACATTAATTTTAAATCTATTATCGTGTATTCCATGCATAATTAAACACTGTGATATGAAAATTAATATATGAAGGGCAATTACTAGTGTTTTCCTTGTCACACAGTTTTAGGAAATTGCCATGTGTCTATCAGTGTCATATGTTGTTGGATGATTGTTAATGTGTTAAACTGTTTGATTATTTTTAGCTCGACTTTTTTTTTTTTGAAAAAAAAAAGTAGAGGTATTGTTATAGTCGGGTCGGCTTTGCCGTCCGCAAACTTGTACCTGGATCATAACTTTTTTATTTCTTGGTGTATTGTCTTCATACTTGGCCACAACAACCCTTGGGACAAGACCTTTCAGTAGACCACACTAACCTTGACCTTCATCCATAAATGACCTTGACCTTCAAGGTTAAAAGTCCAATTTTTGCTTGTTCATGCTGTTATTGGCTGTAACTTTGTTATTTTTGAATGGATTGTCTTCAAACTTGAACATAATAATCTTCAAGCATATCCCTTAAAAATAACCAGCCAGACCTTGACCTTCACTCATAAATGACCTTGACTTTGAAGGTCAAATTATTGAAATTTTCATTTTTTTGGCTATTATTGGCTGTAACTTTGTTATTTTTGAATGGATTGTCTTCAAACCTATTATTGAAGGGATCAACTTCATATTATAACAGAACATTCTTAAGGACCAGACCTTGTTGTTTATCAAACCCAAATTTGCTTGGGCTCTTTAATGACCTTGACCTTGAAGGTTAAATTACTGAATTTTCTCAGATTTGTGCATTAAATGACCATAATTATATATTTATTGGTGTGTGTGTGTGTGTATATATAGAAAAAAAATATATATATACATATCTATCATCATCATCATCACCATCACCATCATCATCAACAACAACAACAAAATGTTTCTATTTATAGAAATTGCGTAATGTTTCTATTTATAGAAATTGCATAATGTTTCTATTTATAGAAATTGCGTAATGTTTCTATTTTTAGAAATTGCGTAATGTTTCTATTTATAGAAATTGCATATAGAAATTGCGTAATGTTTCTATTTATAGAAATTGCGTAATGTTTCTATTTATAGAAATTGCGTAATGTTTCTATTTATAGAAATTGCGTAATGTTTCTATTTATAGAAATTGCATTCTATTTATAGAAATTGCGTAATGTTTCTATTTTTAGAAATTGCATTCTATTTATAGAAATTGCGTAATGTTTCTAATTTTAGAAATTGCATTCTATTTATAGAAATTGCGTAATGTTTCTATTTATAGAAATTGCTTAATGTTTCTATTTATAGAAATTGCGTAATGTTTTTCTATTTTTAGAAATTGACTAATGTTTCTATTTTTAGAAACCGGTAATGTTTCTATTTTTAGAAATTGTGTAATGTATTTGCGTAATGTTTCTATTTATAGAAATTGCATTCTTTTTATAGAAATTACGTAATGTTTCTATTTTTAGAAATTGCGTAATGTTTCTATTTTTAGAAATAATAATGTTTCTATTTATAGAAATTGCGTAAATTTTCTATTTATAGAAATTGTGTAATATTTCTATTTTTAGAAATTGCGTAATGTTTCTATTTATAGAAATTGCGTAATGTTTCTATTTATAGAAATTGCGTAATGTTTCTATTTATAGAAATTGCGTAATGTTTCTATTTTTAGAAATTGCATTCTATTTATAGAAATTGCGTAATGTTTCTATTTATAGAAATTGCGTAATGTTTCTATTTATAGAAATTGCGTAATGTTTCTATTTTTAGAAATTGCGTAATGTTTCTATTTATAGAAATTGCGTAATGTTTCTATTTTTAGAAATTGCGTAATGTTTCTATTTTTAGAAATTGCGTAATGTTTCTATTTTTAGAAATTGCGTATTCTATTTATAGAAATTGCGTAATGTTTCTATTTTTAGAAATTGTGTAATGTTTCTATTTATAGAAATTGTGTAATGTTTCTATATTTAGAAATTGCGTAATGTTTCTATTTATAGAAATTGCGTAATGTTTCTATTTTTAGAAATTGCGTAATGTTTCTATTTTTAGAAATTGCTTAATGTTTCTATTTTAGTAGAAATTGAGTAATTTTTCTATTTTTAGAAATTGGGTAATGTTTCTATTTTTAGAAATTGCGTAATGTTTCTATTTTTTGAATTGCGTGTTTCTATTCATATATATATACAAAATAGATAAACAAAACTAATGTGACAAGACAGAACAACTAAATTTATAAAAAGGAAACGTTAAGATATGTTCAAACCTTTCTATGTTTGCGTTTAGAAAAAGTAAAAAGTCGAGCGTTGCCCCCGCCTGGCGGTGGCTCTTGTTAAACAGAAAAAATAGGGCAGTGATTCTAATTGCACAAAGTGGTACATTACATTCTATTTAAAACTTTAAGCTGAACTGTGACATTAAGGTCATCATATTACTTTTGTTTAAGTCAATTATGTCCCAATTTAATGTGACATCTGAACTTTGATATGCTTATGATCTCTGCCCAGCAAATGAACTTGACCTACAATGTTCTTTAATTTGGAACTATATATGGTTCATTGTATGTTAATTCATAGATTGGAATAGTAAAACATTGAGTACAGAATCAAGAAGCAAAGGCAATGCATGTTAGTTGAAACTTTGTAAATTAATATAAACTTGTCTTGTTTTAGATGGTTTAGCTGACCGCATGTTCAATGTGACAGGAAAAGTTCTCAGTGTGCAGGGACTGAAGTTTAATGAGGGAACAATTTACTGCAAAGTGAGGGCAATATCGTAAGTTCTTTTTTGCTACCTTTTTACTCTACTTTATGAAAGAATTTCGAACATCTAATGGTGTGCACTCGCTCGTACATCTGTCTGTTCTTCTGGGTAAAAGAAAGGACATTTATTGGGAACAATGGCTTATGGTAAATTCTACTCCTTCTGTACTTTTATAGCCAGATTGTGTGTTTTTTTTAACAAAAGAAGAACCCAATAAATGTCATTTTTAAGGACAGTCTTTTTGAGTTCCACATGTCAAGGTCAAAGTGACAGACATTATGCATGAATTTCAAAATTGTGGTGTCTGTTCTGTATCTTTAAAACCAGTGGAAGGACGTTGAAATTATTTGGCAGAAATATAAATAATGATTCTTATTTTCAGACCCAACAAGCGCAGATTACGACAGATATTTGGAAGTCGTGTAATAGCGAAATCTCCAATGATCAAAGCATCACAACCAACTTTCAATCTGCCTATTGATGTAGACAGGGGTATAGGTGTTAGTGGAGAAACATTGCTCAAATTTGACATAAAGAGAGAAGGAAAAGAACATTTAGCAACTAAGGCATTTACCCTGCGGTCTTTATTTAGTGGTTTGTAGAAGAGTTTATCACTTTAGCTTTATAAAATTTATTGTCTCAATACATTTGTAGTATATTTTAAGTTCCTAACATTGAGTAATTTGCCTCTCAACTACTGTGTATGTATCTAACCTTGGACAATGAATATTCTGATAGAAGGCAACTTTCTTTCAAATACCCTGAAGGTATGTGGTTTAAAGGAATGCCACTGAGGTTCAAAAGCTTCAAAAAATAAAAATTTGAATTTCTTATACAGATCAGCTTGGGCACTAAAAACAGAAGGATGCAAATGATAATAAAGAAATATTCTTGGAAATAAGTCGTATTTTTGTGCTATTCTTAGCCTGATTTGAGCGAAAAGTGATGCAACGCTTTTCAAATTTTGGTCATTTTTCAACATTAGGATGATTGTTCTGAAAAAAACATAGTGAGCGAATGATCGAAAATTTTGTACACAAGTTATTTGTCTAGACCTGAATCAAATCAAAAATGAATCTCAAAAACTTATTTCCATTCCTGTCATGTCAAAAATCTCAGTGGTGTCCCTTAAATACCACTCCTGTCTCAACTTATAACAGTTCCTGCATTCCATTACAATGCCAGTGTTTCTGATAGAATAACCATGTAGTGAAAATAAAATAATTTCTTGATCCATTAAATTTAAAAGATGGATTTGCAAGTTTCTCATTTGGTACATTAAGCTTAACCATGATAAGACTTTTGCTTCTTTTGTGCTTTTGGTAATTTAGAATAGTAATAGGGATTAAGTAGTTTGTATGGAAGTCAAAATACCACTTGCTTTATGTATGTATCATATTATTTCAAAGTTAGAACTACATATTTTGATTATGTATTGTTATACCAGGTCCTGGTGGAGAGGCAGACAAGATACAGAAAGTGTTGCCTCTAGAGAACAATCTTCAGGTAGAAATATATCTACAACATACACCACCAGAAAGTAACACTTTCCTGCGACGTCGACATGGTGGTCGTAGTTTGGGATTTTCAAGATCAGCCAGGAAAACAGTTGTGTAGTCTGTGGTTTTAAAGATGTGACAAACATGGTCTACTGGATAGAAAATGTCATCATCTCTATGCTTACACTTTGTAATGGCAGCGATTTTTTATAATTCGTTTTTTTTTATTCCAGAATGCCGGGAAATAATGGAAGTATTGTCCTCTATTTGATTGTTCTACTTTTTATGCCCCCACAGAGTGGGAGCATATAGCGTTGCACTTGTCCGTCAGAGTGTCCGTCCGTCCGTACGTCCCGAAATCTTGTGAACGCAACTCCTCTTAAACCTGATGGCAGATTTTGCTTAAACTTCCAGGGATGAACAACCTTAATGTGTAGATGGTAGTAAAGGAAGGAATTTTTGCTGCGACCAAAATTAACAGAATTATGGCCCTTTGTTGATTTTTTCACTATATACTATGTAGAAATTTTGTGAACGCAACTCCTCTTAAACCGGATGGCAGATTTTGCTTAAACTTCCAGGGATGAACAACCTTAATGTGTAGATGGTAGTAAAGGAAGGAATTTTTGCTGCGACCAAATTTAACAGAATTATGTCCCTTTGTTGATTTTTAGTTTTAAAATATTTGACCTAGAGTCATAAGATTGACAGAACAGTGGCGTGTGGGGGCATCCGTGTCCTATGGACACATTTCTAGTTCTTAATGTTATTTTGATAATAGTCATATCATTATGAAGTAAGAGTTATCTCATTTCAGATTTTTGTGTCTATATATGAATAAACAGAGTCTTTTATAGAAGTGTGGATATGCTATGGGTTTCTTTCATTTTTTTTGTCAACAAGCCTCGGCATAATCTTGCAGGTTTAAAACCCAGATGTGAATGCAGAGTCTCATTATTTCTTTCTATTTGTCAATTTAGAGGTCAAAGCCAAATTAAAGCAACTTAACTTAAAAGTTTTAAGTGGGAACTCAAAAATGCATTTTTCATCAAAGTAAGAGTATGGTAATTTTCAGTAGGAGATCTTTCATTTAAATATCATCCATTACAAATCCATCTGTTTTAAGTCTGTCATACTATTTTAATATATTCCTATATTCAAAGAACATGTAAATGTATTATGAATTTTGCAAAATGTTACTTTTTTGTTATTATTTATCCATTTTTTATGATTTTATTGCACTTGTTAAGTGGCTGCTCTGAGATAGAAGATAGGTAACTCTGAAACTTAAGTTTTTTTGTTGTTGTTGTTTTCAAATGGACCAGTCAGCTAAGTATCATATAGAATATTTTTGTGCCTTGTTGTAAAATCTAGTTGATTTTTTTTTATCAGGTATTTATTTATTCCTTTATTTTTGTAAATTTTAGATCTTTGTCACAGAAGGAAGATTGACATACATGTAAATATATTTCATTGAATCTAACTTTCAGAACATGTGTCATAATAGTAGGTTTTCCATCAAAACAAAATAATTGCTTTTTTTCATGTTTATCTGCATTGTAATACAATAAAATAATACACAAGTAAGGTCTATTGATTCGCCTATGTAATATATGATTTTTGTTGATGAAATGTAAGTTAGTTTTCCCTTACCGGCTATGCATAGAAAAGGTTATGTCCCTTTGAACATGCCAGTAGTTTTTTGTTTTCGGAAAATAAGTTAACTATTTGAATAAGGAGTCTTGTTTTTGTTTTGTTGTTGTTGTTTTTCCCCAGCTTTTATTCATTTTTTGTCCATATAATTAAATAGGGATTAAACAAAACAGGTTTATAAACATTCAGTTATTATCATTTTAATCTTTGCTAATTTCGTGTACTAGCCCTTTCCTCTTGTTTTTATATTTGGTAGTGTCTATTATGTCTTAATTAAAGGAATTCTAATATTGAAATGTTTTAATTGAGCCACAGCAAGTACAGGGTTACATCTGATCTATGAAAGCTGGCCTTTATAACCCTTAATCTGCTGGAATTAAAAATAATCAGTCAATGCCACTAGTATAGTGCCTGCCAGTACAGTCTGTACGTAGCTCAAAATCACTTAAAATGCAAATGGACTCTTCCAAATTCAAAGCAAGGAAAATCCATTATACAAACAGTGGGTTAAAGTGAAACTGATGGTAGTTATCATTATTACTGCTGCTCTTTAACAAATGAGTAAATGCATCTTACAAAATGTCATCATACTGCACAATGCCATATTTAATAGCATTTAAGTTGAGTTCACTTCTTACATGGATAGCCAACAAAGAAGTTAATAAAAGAAAACTGGCAAAATGTAAAAAAATCCCAACATTATGTTCTAATACTAGTAGGTGATTGTTTATTTTTATCAATTATACATTGTAAATGATAATTTATGTTTGTATATGAGATTATAAGTGTCATATCTTTTTAAGTTTCGGAGGAATTAATATCATAAAGATTGTGCCATTCCCTTTTTTGTTAAAATTGCACTTTGTGATAAGTTACTGTTTACATTTTTGTAACTTGAATGATAGATTAAGTTATTATGAAAATTTATGTATTGTTGAGTATTGTTTATTACTTAATGCATATGGAATAGTGAAGGAAAGAAGTATGCGTTTGGGGATGGTCATATCAGAAGTTTTTTATGCCCCCACCATGTTAATTGTAAGGGTGGCATATAGGAGTGTATATCAAAATCCCCTTGATCATAATCCCCTTGGTTGATAAACGACATAGTGATCGAAATCCCCTCAACAGAAATGACCGGGTGTTCATAATCCCCTTGATGGATAGTCAAAATCCCCTTGGCAAAAATGATGGGGTGGTCAAAATCCCCTCAACTTGTGAAAAACAACCCCCTTTACTCAAAATTCTTTTTCCTTTGATCTTTTGTCACTCCAGCTAAACTATTGTGTTACATAAAGAAATGTTGCAAACAGCAGTTACATTGAGTAGAGGAAAGAGTATGGAGTATACTTTAACCTTTGTTACTTGTAATGAATTCCATTTTGGGTATTCATGTCTATTGCAGAGAGCCATCATATTATATACCCAACAAAATAACAGTTTGCAGTTAAGTAAAACAAAGATGAAGTAATTTTAGATAGCAAACTGCAATTAATAGCCTCATTTTATCTGGAAAGATCTAAAGCTAGTGTGCAACAAATTTGCCTTTAAAGGTGTTTATCATTGCAAAGATTAATTGATTGTTTGTTACATATAACTATAATTGCAATGATTAATTATAATCAACTATCATTTATTTGTTTGTATTTTACAATTTTCTCAGCAATAATAACATCAATAAAGGTGTCATTATTAACTGGCTGTGACAAACATACACCTTTTAATTGTTTGTATGCTTTTCTCTTTTTTTTTCAGCAATTCTTGAAGCAGTTGGTTCTTAAATTCATTGAACTAAAAAGAAAAATAAGAAAAGAAATTTCCCAACCATTTCACATTATTTGAGGGGATTTTGACTACCCACTGAGGGGATTATGACCACCCCTTTATTTTTGCCAAGGGGATTATGATAACCCTGTCATTTCTGTTGAGGGGATTTCGATCACTATGTCGTTTATCAACCAAGGGGATTATGATCAAGGGGATTTTGAGCGTCTCCCGGCATATAGTATTACATGTACATCTGTCATGTGTGTGTGTGTTCAAAATCCTTGTCTGGCCCATAACTCTGTCATGCATCTAGGGATTTTCAAAATAAATGGACACAAATCTGTAGCATAATGAGACTAGGTGTCATACAAAATACCAAGATCCCTAGCTCCAAGGTCAAGGTGACACTTTTAGGTCAAAGGTCAGAGGTTTTTGTTAACCTGGCAATCAATTGTGATATGTAAAAACCTATTTACACTTTGTGTCACTGTACAAAATAATAAAACTTAATCATGTCTATTAGGCTGGCAACAAAGATGGCAGCTAAATAACAAACATCTATATGTTGTTTTATCAAGGGTCGTACATCCTGTCACAGCTAAGACTGATCGGTATACCTAAAATACGAAAGTGAGATTTTGACGAAAGTGACTTTTAAAATTTGAATTTTAAAATTTGAATTGTATTTCAAAAATAATCACTATGATGATTTAATCGCCATTTATTTGCATAATTTCTTTACACAAGTTCTGAGATCTTCCTTTCGCTCACTTTGAAAAATACGATAGTGACTATAAATCATCAGAAAATAAATAATAGATCTATTAATTTCTTATAATACACGTCTACAAACTGCAAATTTAGTACATTTTCAATTTAAACTCTATATTTAATACTTTACAAGTATTTTTTTATGCAAGCGAAAGGAAGATCGCTGAACTTGTAGAAATTAGGCCAATCAATGGCGATTAAATCATGATTATGGTTATTTATTATAATATTTATAATAAGTTGCTAATAATAAACATCTAAAAACAGCAATTTTACTGTCAAATTCTATTAAAACGGTACAATTTAAGTTCTAAAAGTCACTTTCATCAAAAGTCTCACTTTCGTATTTTAGGCAGACCCAGATTTCATTGTAAGATAAGATTGAACTTACAACAGTCTTTGTTGAAAAACCCTGTACTGATTATTGTTGAATTTCTGCAGGACTGATCCACAGCTGGTCATTTACAACATGCAGTAAATTAGCCAATAATCTTGTCTCAGTTTACTGGACAAAAAAATAAATCCTCTAAAACTGTTTCCTCTTATGTGAGCAATTTAGTGGCTGATGGTCCTATAGTTGTGTTTTATTACTTGTTACATAATACATATTACTAACAAAGTCATTGTTATATCTATATAATATTAATATTAAAAAAAAAAATTATTTTTACATTTGATATTGATAATTGTAAATGTATGATAATGGTATTTATCTGCTTGCTGTGATATACTATATCTGTTATAATGCATGTATATTATTGTTACTTACAACATGTAGTGATTACCTCCCATAACCCCACCCATATTGTTTTTGTTTTTTTTTATGTATGAATTCATTGTAATGTTTTTGTTTCTCTCTAAACACCCTGTGTCTGTCATGAATTTTTGTTAAAAAACAAGATCTTGCTCAAAATACTGTCAGAGGAAGCTATTCAAAGAATTTATTCCTGTCAGAATATCTTGTGAAATGGCCTGTCGCTAAATAATGAAAACCTGTTCCTTCCTCTACCAATTTATAAAGATTGCTAAAATAAGCGATACAGATACACATGACAGTCGTCTGTTGTTTGTATGAGAGATACAGGGCATGACAGTCGGCCCTCTTGTTTGTATGAGCGATACAGGGCATGACAGTCGGCCCTCTTTTTTGTATGAGAGACAGGGCATGACAGTCGGCCCTCTTGTTTGTATGAGCGATACAGGGCATGGCAGTCGGCCCTCTTGTTTGTATGAGCAATATAGGGCATGGCAGTCGGCCCTCTTGTTTGTATGAGCGAGACAGGGCATGAACAGTCAGCCCTCTTGTTTGTATGAGAGATACAGGGCATGACAGTCAGCCTCTTGTTTGTATGAGCAATAAAGGGCATGGCAGTCGGCCCTCTTGCTTGTTTGAGAGATACAGGGCATGACAGTCAGCCCTCTTGTTTGTATGAGAAACAGGGCATGGAAGTCGGTTCTTTTGTTTGTATGAGAGACAGGGCATGACAGTCAGCCCTCTTGTTTGTATGAGAGACAGGGCATGGAAGTCGGTTCTTTTGTTTGTATGAGAGACAGGGCATGACAGTCAGCCCTCTTGTTTGTATGAGAGACAGGGCATGACAGTCGGCCCTCTTGTTTGTATGAGAGATACAGGCATGACAGTCAGCCCTCTTGTTTGTATGAGAGACAGGGCATGGAAGTCGGTTCTTTTGTTTGTATGAGAGACAGGGCATGACAGTCAGCCCTCTTGTTCATATGAG